CCAAATACCTTAAGGGAACACTGGTCATTCGTCAGGCTTAGTTCACTGCACCTCCCTTCTGATTGCAGTCATGCTTCTGCTTCCGCTTTCCCAGCCCTGGGACTGCCATGAGCTCTGCTAGCAGTGGGCCTCTTCCAGACCCCTCTTCCCTTGCGCCCAGAAGTGGCAAATGCCCCCATGTAGTTGCAGAATGTCATCTCACCTCTGTGTTACCTCCCCTTTTCCAGAAACTTGGCACCTTTAGTCTCTAATGCTCTCACGCACATGTTTCCTAGTGCTTGAGCCACATCTAGTTGTCCTCGACAGGGCACAAATTCCTGCACATGCTACATCATCATGACAGAAGCATGACAGATTAAGAATTAGTTACTAATTCTTAATCTTTATCATTTAAGACTAGTATATTATTTCTGAGTGAATGAATTTTATAAGTTATTGTGCTCATTTACAAGTGCTCTAGCTCTCACTTCATTTATTCATCCCTTTGAAAGGAAATAGGTGGTTTGAGGGCAGAGACTACGTTTTTCTTGTTTAGTATGCTAATCCTAGATTGGAAAATAGGGTCTGCTATAATATAGGGCTCCAAAAAACACACAAATAAATGAATTAATAAACATAATGATTGTCTCAAAAGTGGGTTGAGCAATCTTCTTTGCAGATCTGCTGATAAAAACCAAACTTCAGAGGTGAACATGCCTCCTAAGGTTAATCATCTATCTAAAGCTAACACAGCTGAAATCCAAGGTGCCCTCTGACCTCAGGATGGAGCAAACTCTGAAAGTTTCCTATGTACAGGGTCAAAGTCATGGTGCAAAGGAAGGACATCCAGAGTGCTAGAGCCATCTCTGTTGCTTTGACACAGCCTCTCACAGTAGCAGAGCAGAAGGTTAGATGTGCTACAGTTCTCACCTCTGCCCATATGGATATGTGCAAAGTTGCCAGGGAGCCCTGGAAGAGCTGTTTCCCTGCAACAGTGGCCACTCCACAGTTTTCTCTCAAACTACTTTTCAAGCCTGATTGCTGTCCTTGGCCCCACACCTCTCTCTCATCCCATGCTGCTTACCCGGCTTGGGTGCAAGGACCATACTCTTAACTAGATCCTCTACATGGATGGGTTGCAATGGCCATTTAAAACCTCTCTCAGGTATATCTCATTTTTAGGGCCTAGATGCAGTCAGCTTTTCCAACCTTGCAAAATCTCACATTTGTAGATTGCTAAATTCTCTTTTGTTTTGGCTTGCAAACAAACCAATTCTACCCGGAGCTTGTTGTCTTTCTTATAATACCTAATTATATGCAGCTAGTACCAACATGTGCTGTTAACATTCTATTTTACCCCCTTCCCTCCACCTCAGCAGACTCAGTAGGTCTGTTTTACTTTCCACGTTACTGAAGACAACAGTTTAAATGTTTTGCCACAGCAAAGACTATTTAAGATTACTAGTCTCCTTTTAAATTATAAATTCTTTACTTATACAAATTCATTCATTTATAGCACTGAAAAACAAATATAAAACCCTCAAAAATCTATTTTTAATTTATTTTTTAATTTTGAGAAATCTTATCTATGTAGCAAAATATAATAAGAAATACTCATACTCCCACCACCTCTATTTTAAAAATAACTGTTTTGCCATATTTGTTTCCTGTGTTTTTCCATTCTACAAATAGATAAGTATAAAGTCCCCTTTAATCTTACTGCAAGCACGGTCTGGAGTGTCTGGTTCTAGGTGAAGAAGTGCCAAAGAAATAGGGAGGTGGCCCTGAATGCCAGGGAGGTGAGGGGAAAGTTAATCCCTGAACTCCTTCTTCTGAGAGTTACATGGGGGTGCATCACAGCTATTCCCCATTTTCAGGAAATCTTCATTAACCGCAACTCCCATAACCATTTTCACCCTTTCCTAAGGGACAGCTGTTCAAGCAAACTTTAATGTGCATCACAATCACCTGGAGGACTTGTGCCAACACAGAATGCTGGCACCCGCCCTCAGAGTTCCTAACTCTGCAGGCCTGAGGTCAGGCCCAAGAATTTTGATTTCCAACACATTCCTAGGTGAGGCTGAGGCATCTGCTCCAGGTACTACACTAGATGGAGAACCACTGCTCTAGCTAATGCCTCTCTGCCCATGTGGAGACACAGATGGGAGAACTTGTCACTTGCAAGGTTGACTCCCCTCCTATTCAAATCCAGCTGGCTAAAAGCTGAGAGCACTTTCGTTGTCCTCCTCATCTTCATTAGCAGCAAGGCCCCAGTGCAGACCTTCCTGCAGAGATGGGCAGGCAGCATGTGACAAGGAGCAGTGTGGTTGGTCAGGAGGGGCCCAGGGTTTCCTGGCTGTGTGGCCCTGGTCAAGTGACACAGTCGCGGAGCCTCACTTTCCCCGTCTACATAATATGGGACAGTGATGCCCACATACTAGAGCAACAGTTCTCAACCTGTGGGTCGCGATCCCTTTGGGGGTCGAACATATATAATTACATATTGTTTTTGTGATTAATCACTATGCTTTAATTATGTTCAATTTGTAACAATGAAAATACATCCTGCATATCAGATATTTACATGACGATTCATAACAGTAGCAAAATTACAGTTATGAAGTAGCAACGAAAATAATTTTATGGTTGGGGTCATCACAACCTGAGGAACTGTATGAAAGGGTCGCGGCATTAGGAAGGTTAAGAACCACTGTACTAGAGGATTGCTGAGAAAAGTAAACAGAAATAGTGCAAGCAGGAGTCCTTTATGGACACTACTAGTAAAGTACCCTATGAATAGTCATTATTGTTACAGCTTCATGACAGATTTGTTCCCTAACAATTAACTGTAGCATCCTTTTATGTTTTTTTTAAACTCTAACAACTTTCTTTTTCAGGCTTTCCTCACCCTGTCCACAACAACACCAGGTCTTTACATTGAGCCCTAATGTTAGTGATTCTGACTCACTTGGCTTGGGTATATTCACATACTTAGGCCCAAGCTGCTCATTGCTATCTTTAGTTGCTAAAAAGAAAAACAATCAAGGAACACGGTATTAAACTCTCACATTACTCAATCCAAAATCATGAGCTTTTCAATCTCAAGCTTAAAATAAGAAACACTATCTAAGCGGTCTGCCATTCGAACAGACTTGTTCATCATGAACACGCCAAGATTTTGCCGTCCCATTTTACCTCCTCTCCCCCAATCTTCGCCATTTGGACTTTAGTTTCCATCCCAGATCTCCCCTAGACTCAGGGAGTTACAGAGAAAGGTGGTATGCTCATCGAAGGGAGAAAGAAGGGAGAGGGCCATTGGCAATCTTGGCAAAGACCTCTTTGCACTTGATGTGCAATCTAGTCATCCAGACATCTTTCTTCCCTCCAGCCCTCTTGGCTGTGGTAAGCAGTGATTATATTCTTGTTAAATTGTAGGGGAAAGAGCCCTGTCCATGGAGTCTGTGGATGTAAGAACCTACAAACCTGTAGAGAATTTTTGTAAAAATTTATTGCCAAACAGGATACACCTGGAAGCAAGATTTCAATAGACTGAGATACATGCTTTGGAGACTAGAGACTAACAGTTTGCAGTTGCTTTTAGGCATTTGAGATTGGATGTGAGGAAGATTGCCTGAAGGTGGGAGAAAGCAAGGCCCCGGCCAAATTACAGGATAGTTAAGATTCACACTTTATAAGGCGGGCTCTGAAAGGGTGGGCACTACTGGGAGGAGGAGACTGAAGGGGGCCGTTTCAAAGGTGTGTTAACCTTGATGCGCAGAAACGATGGACAGGGCTGCCTTAAGGTAAAGATAAGTCTTTTACTAAAGTTCTGTGCCTGGGGCTTGACTACCCATCATACCTGCCCAGGTAGGAATTTATGATTAGATCACTCCGTGAGGTTACTTTCCATAGAACCCCTATTTTCATCCACAAGTCAAGACTGAAAGACAAGTACCATATGACTTCACTCATATGTGGAATTCAATGAACAAACTGAACTAACAAGCAAAATAGAGAGAGACTCGTGGATAGCAGGCAGTCAGGGCTGGTGGTGGGGGTGGTAGAGGGTAGTGGAGGGATTCAACAAAATTAAATGGACACGGACAACAGTGGTGATTGGGGGGGGGTGGATGGGGGTGGAAGCATAGGGGGATAAATGGTGATGGAAAATAAAAGAAATGCAAAGAGATAAAAAGACTTGGCTTACATCTGAACTCTACCACTTAACTGTGACCTCGGACAAATCATTTAACTTATCTAAGCCTCAGCTTTTACATCTGTGAAATGAAAATACCACGGTTTGCCTCGTAGAGTTGTTTTGGGTGGTGATATATGGTTTCTCACGCACTGCCTGGCCCGCGGCAGGTATAAAATATTTACCGAGCCGGGGCTGGTTTGCCTCAGTGGATAGAGCTGGGCCTAGGGACTGAAGGGTCCTGGGTTCGATTCCGGTCAAGGGCACATACCCAGGTTGCAGGTTGGATCCCCAATGGGGGGGGGGGGGGCATGCAGGAGGCAGCCAATCAATCATTCTCTCTCATCACTGATGTTTCTCTCTCTCCCTCTCCCTCTCCGAAATCAATAAAAATATATTTTAAAAATAAATATATACCGAGGAGACCCTCTTTCCCCTGGCTTTAAGCTTTACATTTCCTTGTTTTAGGACCTCCCCTAAGGTACTTCGTTCGGCCCAGCGGCCCCATCCGGAGCTGCGGCCCTTCGGCGCCTTAATCCCCCGCGGCCCCAGCCCCTGAGCCGAGGGTGCTGGGCCGACTCCCGCCGGGGCCAGGGCCGACTCCCGCCGGGGCCAGGGCCGCCCTCCAAAACCCGAAGCCCCAGGGCACCCGGCCCCAGTCCGCCTGAACCCCAAAGCCGGCTGTACACCCATCTATCCCACTGCCCGTCACCCCGGTGGACGACTCCACCCCTTCCCGCAGCTGCGGGTGATGTCACTTCCGCCGGAAAAGGTGAGCGCGTCCGCGCGGTTGGCGCGAAAGTCGGTTCGGGGCCTCGGCAACTTCCGGGTCCCGCGTCTGCCTGGGGAGGGGGCGCCGCGGGTGCGGCGGGTGTGGCCGGGCTGGCGCCCGACCCCAGCCGCTCTCCCGCTGGCTGCGCGCGCCCCCACACGCTGCCCCCAAACCCCCGAGCTCCACGGAGGTGAGTGAGGCGCGGAGAGGAGACCCCGCTCCTTCCCCGCCGCAGTTGGGGGGTCCCGCCGCCGCCTCTGGCCTTGGCGGCGCCTGTAACCGACGGGGAGGGGCGGCTGCGGCTGGGCCGGGGAGGCAGCGCCTTGCTCCCCGGCTGCACGTTTACATTAAAGCCCAGGTGCGGGTGGGCGAACGGACCGCGAGGGCCGAGGGTTACCTGCCGGGACGGATTCTTCCTGAATGCAATGGATCGTTCATTGGTTTAGGCCCTAAACTTTAGGGGACTTAGAGCCCCGATAGTGAAGGCCCTTAACGTATTCAGCTCCGGGACCTTGAGTTGGTCCTCTGACTTGCAGGTTATCTTTTTCTTTGCCCACCTTCCTGCGTTTCTTACAAAGTGGATGAATTCACGGGCGAGGAGGCCAAAATGCCTATCCTTAGGCATTCTTGTCTGCGCAGAAAAAAATAGGTCCCTTAAGCAGATAGAGTGATGCATAATGTGGTTTTGTTCTTGTTAATGGTTCCCTTATTTTGACAGTTCAAAAATGTCCAAAAATGACAAAGAACCGTTTTTTGTGAAGTTTTTAAAGTCTCCAGACAATTCCGAGTGCTTTCTTAAAGCTCTTGAGGTAAGAACAGTTGAAAACATCTTGTTTGATGCTTTATTTTCTTGATTTTAGAGTTTCTGATTTATTGGACTTTTATATCTCATAGTTATTTTATTTTTATAAATACATAGTTTTACTGTAGTCTCCATTAACATAAATATCTCATTGCTAGATATTTTTAATGAATGTGAGTATATCATTATATTTGTTGGGGGGCTTTAAATCTGAGATTTCTGTTAAAAGTGACACACCTGCTGTTCTTGGAAATTAAGTTGCTTTCTTTTCTCTACTAATCAGAATAGACCTTTGTGTGTTGAAAAATTGAGTCAGCCCTGTACTGGTTAGTTATTCTTTGGTTGGTAGGTTGTTAAAAGTGTTTCATTATGTACAGCATGATATGGGAGGACCTGGGGCAGGGTGGAGCCTTGCTGCTCTCAGACCCCGGCAGCAGCAGCATAGCTTGAGAGTTTGTTATAAAAGCAGAACTTGGGCCCCAACTCGGACTTACCAGTTAGAATCTACCTTTTAACAAGATCCTCAGTGTGATTTCTGTGTACATTAAAGTTTAAGAAGCTCTGTTGTAGCAGGGTTTTCCTTAAAGTTTACTCCTTCAGCAAATAAATATTGTGTGCCCGATCAACACTGCTCTAGCACATGGGATACATCTGTGATCAGAGCAGAAGATTCCTACTTTCTTAGACATTAATCAGACATGATAAGTGACTAAACTATATAGTACGTTACAGTGTGCTAAGTGTTAAGGGAAGAGAAAAGAGCAAGACAGGTTACGGGGTCTGGAAGGTTGTAATTTTAAATAGAGTGTGATTGGGGTGTCCTTTATGGAAAAGATGATATTTGAGTTTGCTTGAAGGAGGTGAGATAGTTAGCCGCGTGGCTATCTGGTGAAGAAGGTTTTGGGCAGAGGGGAAAACAGGCCCCTGGGAAAGTGCGTGAAGTGTCTGTCCAACATTAGTGTGGCTGTAGTATGATGAGCAAGAGATGGAGGGAAGAATATTGAGGGATGCTTCAGAGAGGAGGATTAAGAGGACATGTAGGGCCTTGTGGGCCATTGTAAGGACTTTGGCTTTTTCTTTCAGTGAGATGGAAAGCCGTTGGAAGGTTTTAATCAGAACAGTGGCATGATCTGACTTACTCATCTGAAAGGATCATTTTAAGTATTTATTTAACATGAGGACTTCAAATTTTGTTCAGAAAATATTTGAGTGCTTACCTAGGTGCCAGGATATGGTGGCAAACAGGATCGTGAAACTTTGTTTTAAGGGAGAGAGACAACTATATATGTCTACATAATATCAGTGTTATGTCTTCATAACATAGACTGGAGGGAAAGGGTATTTTAGAAATCGTGATCAGGAAAGGCATCTCAGAGGAGGTGACTTTTGAAGTGAGGCATCAAGTCTGGTGAAGACCTGGGAGAATATTCCAGGCAGTGGGAGCAAGAGCAAAGCCTCTAAATGAGGTCATGCTTAACTTGTTCCAGTGGTAGCAAGAAAGCTGGAGTGGCTAGAGAAAAAGTAAGGCCGGCGAGAGGTAGAAGGTAAGGGCAGGGAGACAGGCAAGGGCTGGACGCCTTGGTCTTGTAGGCCATCCTAAGAAGTCTTATGCTATAATTATGCTATTCTGGGTGTGCTTGGAAGACATTGAAGTTTTTGAGCAGAGAGTAACATAATGTGATTTATATTGTTAAAAAGATTCCTTGCTGTTGTATGGAGAAGAGATTTAGGGCAAGGAAGGGAGAAGAAAACACTTTAGAGACTTCTGCAGAGGTCTAGGTGAGAGGTGATGGAAGAGTCCAACAGGGAAAAGGCTAGACTTGAGATGGATTTTGAATATAGAGTTCGTAGGACTTAAATAAGAAGGGACAATTTCAGTTGCAATCTTATTTCATTTTTCTTTCAGTCAATAAAAGAGTTCCAGTCCGAAGAATATCTTCAGATTATTACAGAAGAAGAGGCATTGAAGATAAAGGAGAATGATAGATCACTTTATATCTGTGACCCTTTTAGTGGTGGTGTCTTCGATCACCTCAAAAAGGTTTGCTGACTTATAATGTGTTCCTGCAGTAGTGTGTTTTTTGGTTTGTTTTTGCTTCAGTGGACAAATGATTTATTGATCATGAAGTATTATGCAAATTATGAATACAAAGAAATTTTTTGGTTTGGGGAGTCTGGAATATTTTTAAAGGCTAATTATGTTATAATAAGCTTTTGTTAATATGTAATTTTTTATAGTATTTCAGGGGATTTAACTTCACTTAGTATAAGGGAACCCTATAGTAATGAAGCATTTTATTTTTTAAATTAACCCCCTTTTTAAAAAATAGTTTATTGATTTTTAGAGGGAGAGAGAGAAACATGGATGTGAGAGAGAGTAACATCGATTGGCTGCCTCCGCCACACCCCCTGCTCGGGCATGTGCCCTGTCCAGGAATTGAACCAGCAACCTTCATTACACGCCCAACCAACTGAGGCACACCAGCCAGGGCGATAATGAAGCATTTTAGCGATTGAGTTCTACTGTCCTTAAACTCGGTGTGATTGCAAAACATTTCAGGGAGAAATAAAGAGTAGGAAAAGACCTCAACGTAATGCTTGGTTACTGTCTCTCAGACTACTTGCTCTTACAGGTAGAATTTTAATACCTGTACTTTATAAAGACTGAAAAGTTATGTCAAAGGAAGCATTTTGGTGATGAGTATTGCTAATATACCAGTGAGCCATCTTCATTTCTTTCTGTTGATTCTAGAGTCTACTGACTCATTACTTTTTTGGTGTCTGGACAAGAGAGAAGCATTGAAATAAAAGTAAACGGGCTGTAATTCCATCCAGATTACAAACAAGTGATTCTTGTTTGAAGGAGAAGAAAACATAGAAGAGTAGGCAGATGCAGTATCTGTACAATTTATGGAAGGTCTGTGCCCACTTTTGCCAGAAGCATTGTTGGTCTTACCCTCCTTTTGGAATAACACTGCTTGTCAGATAGAATCAGTAGCATCAAAAACTCAATTTTCTTCTGACCAAGAAGATAATAATTTACTCTGTAGATATTTCAGTCATGTTATGGTGACTTTCACAACTGTAGGCTTTTTTAGCCTGGCTTGAATGTGCAGGTCTCAATTATCAATGAAATTGAAAGGTCATTTTTGTTTTTAGTAACCTGCAGTATCTTAAGAGAAGTGTTTGTGGGTTTTCCTTGGGAAGACTTTGAGTTGCAGACAGAGTATTTAAAACAAATGTAGAAACTGCCCAGAATTATTTGGTTTTGTGTTCTTTGGTGATATAAGAGGTATTTTAGATGAGGTTTATGTAGGCTTAGTATTTTTAAACTGCTTCATTGACTGGATGCTTCGTTTAAAAAATATGTCAGGATAATTCCTAATTATAGCATAAGACTGCTAGTCATACACCCTTCCCGTTGTTAAGATTTTGTTTGTTTCCGAGATTAAAATTTCAGTGGTAATTTTGAGTGAGTGTGGCTCTTGGAGCTTATTTCTTTGATAGCTTGCATTGCTTGATTTGCTTTCATGTGTGTGTAGCTCATGAGTACTGTATCTGAGAAATTATATAATGGCCTCTATGTTTTTCTTAAAACAATTTGGTGAAATTTTTATGGTGGTCATCAACTTTTATAAAGAATTGGTAAATAATATAAAATGTAATTTTATAAGACTGAAGTTCTTTCCCTACTTACTGAACTTTTCCTTTTTTTATAGCTTGGCTGCAGAATTGTTGGTCCTCAAGTAGTCATATTTTGTATGCAACACCAGCGATGTGTCCCAAGAGCTGAATATCCAGTTTATAATATGGTTATGTGTGATGTAACTATATCTTGTACAAGCCTGGAAAAAGACAAAAGGGTAGGTGTTGAGGAATATGTCTATTTCCATACCTAATTTTTCATTGTGTAGAATATACTTGAAAGACTTTACACTGGGTGTTTATATTTTCATATATTTTCATTTTTATTATTATTTTTAGAGAGAGGGGGAGAGAGAGAGAGAGAAACCGATAGGTATCAATCGGTTGCCTCCCATATGCACCCTGACCAGGGACCGAACCCAAAACATGGGTATGTGCCTTGACCGGGAATTAAACCTGCAACTCTTTGGTGCACAGGACAGTGCTCAACCTACTGAGCTACACTGACCAGGACTATCTTTTTATATTTTTATGAGTTGAATATAGTGGGATCTGTTTATTTTTAAGGAGATACTATTTATTTATTTATTTATTTTTAAATCTATTTTTATTGATTTCAGAGAAGGGAGAGGGAGAGAAAGATAGAAACATCACTGATGAGAAAGAATCATTGATTGGCTGCCTCCTGCACGCTCCCCACGGGGGATCGAACCCACAACCTAGGCACGTGCCCTTGACTGGAATCGAACCCGGGACCCTTCAGTCCACAGGCTGATGCTCTATCCACTAAGCCAAACCAGCTAGGTCGAGAAGATACATTTTAAATACATTTTTATTTATTACAGAGAGGAAGGGAAGAGAGATCAATGATGAGAGAGAATCATCAACTGGCTGCCTCCTGCACGCCCTCCACTGGGAATCGAGCCTACAACCTGGGCATATGCCCTTGACCGGAATCGAACCTGTTACCTTTCAGTCCATAGGCCCATGCTCTATCCACTGGACCAAACTGGCCAGGGCTAAGCAAAAAAAAATTTTAAAGGAAACTCACTTTTTCCCCTATATAGTCAATGAGTTTGCTTTTGAATTACATTTTTCCACTGTAAATGGGAAATCCTAAAAAAGGGGGATTCTGAGAGAGGTATGTAATAGATATGTTATATATGTGTTTACACATTTTAAAATATGTATGGTAAATTAAAATATATTGTTTATTATAGAAACAATATAGTGCTTTAGCCAGTGTGGCTCAGTTGGTTAAGCGTCATCCCATGCACCAGAAAGGTAACCGGTTGGATTCCCAGTTAGGGCACGTGTCCAGGTTGTGGGTTCCGTCCACAGTCGAGGTGTGTACGGAGGCAACTGACCAATGTTTCTCACATCGAGGTTTTTCTTTCTCTATCCCTCTCCCTTTCTCTCTCTAAAAATCAAAAAAAAAATATTTAAAAAACCCCAACAACATAGTTTAATAACTTCATGGAGTTCAAAGAGATAAACATAGAAAAATAATGTATAAAGGTAATTATTTTAAAATCTATGCCCTGGCCTGGGAGCTCACTTGGTTGAAGTGTCATCGCAATACACCAAGGTTGTGGGTTTGATATCCAGTCGACACACACGAGAAGCAACCAATGAATGCATAAATAAGTGGAATAACAGTGATGTTTCTCGCTCTTACTTTCTTTTTCCCTTCCTCCCTCTTTATCTAAAATCAATAAATAGAAATTTAAAAATTTTTATTTATAATTTATATTTACCTTCCAAATATATTAATTAAATGGTTAATTATTTAATTTTATATGGTGAGAAACACTTGTGCATTCAAGCTAACAATATATATATATGGAATATTGTATAAAAAATAAATTTGCTTCAGTATTAATATATTTTCTCTTGGGACTACAGGAAGAAGTTCATAAATATGTACAAATGATGGGTGGACGTGTATACAGAGACCTTAATGTATCAGTAACTCACCTTATTGCCGGAGAAGTTGGTAGCAAAAAATACTTAGTTGCTGCAAATCTAAAGAAACCAATTTTGCTTCCTTCTTGGGTTAACACACTTTGGGAGAAATCACAAGAGAAGTAAGAAAGACATTTTGATATTTTCTAGATTTGAAAATGATACATTCAGTCATTCTAGCTTGTGAGTTTTCATAGGGGAGGTTTTATTGTATCTTTGGATTTATCATTCAGTGACAAAAATTGGGTCATTATTCTTTTCTCCAATGAAAACAAAAGAGCAGATTCTAAAAACTGTTACCCGGTTAGAGGTCGATAGGTAGAATGGCCTATGGTAGTGATGGCGAACCTTTTGAGCTCGGCGTGTCAGCATTTTGAAAAACCCTAACTTAACTCTGGTGCCGTGTCACATATAGAAAATTTTTGATATTTGCAACCATAGTAAAACAAAGATTTATATTTTTGATATTTATTTTATATATTTAAATACCATTTAACAAAAATCAACCAAAAAAATGAGTTCGCGTGTCACCTCTGACACGCGTGTCATAGGTTCGCTATCACTGGGCTGTGGGGTTAGAACTAGCTACAAGGTAGGAAATGCTTTGATAATAAAACTGTTTTGAGCAGTACCTGTAAAATAGTTGGGAAAATCAGTATGGCAGCTGCAACTTTTATATTGCTTTCTTCAATACTGTGCCCATATGTTAACATGGAGAGCAAATTAGTCATTTGGGCAGTTGTATTCCCTCCCAAAGTGGATATGTGTAAGGTTGAAAATAAAATGTAAGTCATTAACTGGGATGTGATCATTCAGTAAATATTAATTGAGCCCATTTTATGTATCTGCCCTGAGCTAGGCTTTAGGCATATGTAGTGAGCAAAACAGGATAGCATCTCTGCCTTCATGGCACTTAGAGCTTATTTCAAGGGACAGAATTGAGTTTCCTTTAAAATTAGAGTAACTCTAAGTCCAGGTTCCACTGTTTGAATTAAATAGGAGTTTTCCCAGTCTTTCACACCATCCCACACATCCTAATCGTGTCTCCACGTTGGCACCCTCATTCCCAGCCTGTTTCATCAACACATCTGCCTAGCATGGCAACAGAAGACAATGATATTTTTGTTGGTTTCTGCCCCAAATCATTGCTTATTATTTGTATAAGAAAAGGATACAGATTCTGTTTTTCTAGGAGGCAACTGAAGTAGAGATTCAGACTTAAAATTTTGGAAAGTAACCACCATTTCTCTGCTTTTTAACAATTTAAGATTTTCTTTACAGAATAGCTTTTGCTTCTGACATATCATAAATGTAGTATGGTATTTTTTCCCCTAAAAATCTTACAAAAATAGTTTGGGTCACAATTTGTAGAAAAATTACATGACTGTCCTAGTGTTTATTCAGGTCATTCAATAAATATAAAATAAAAACTTTCAGTGGTGCTTTATCTAAATTTATTATCCAATTTTTATTTTTAACCAGCATGGACTTACAGAGTTAATGAAAAGTTTTCCCTTAAAACAATTTTGAGAGACTGTCTGAAACATTACTTTTTATTAGAGATATGGTGCCAAGCTTAGATTAGCAATTAGTATAATTCTGAGTGCCTGTGAGTTCCCCTTAAGATTTATTTTTTTCTTCTTCTTTTAATATATTTTATTGATTTTTTACAGAGAGGAAGGGAGAGAGATAGAGAGTTAGAAACATCGATGAGAGAGAAACATCGATCAGCTGCCTCCTGCACACCCCCTACTGGGGATGTGCCCACAACCAAGGTACATGCCCTTGACCGGAATCGAACCTGTGACCTTTCAGTCCGCAGGTCAAGGCTCTATCCACTGAGCCAAACCGGTTAGGGCTCCCCTTAAGATTTAATAAAAATCTTTAAAAATGAGGAAAGCATTAGTGATATTGTTCTTACTTTTCTGGTAAAATTTAAACTATTGGGTATATTTAATATGTTCATTTTTCCCCGTTTTATCATTTGTTTTCCGCAGTACAATAACTAGATATACTGATATAAACATGGAAGACTTCAAGTGTCCTATTTTTCTTGGTTGCATAATCTGTGTGACTGGCTTGTGTGGCTTAGAAAGGAAGTCAGTTCAGCAACTCACAGTTAAGCATGGAGGCCAATACATGGGACAATTGAAAATGAATGAATGTACACACCTCATTGTGCAAGAACCAAAAGGTAAAACTATTTCCTGAATGGACAAATGCAAGATTTTCTCTGCTTTTTAACAATTTAAGATTTTCTTTACAGAATAGCTTTTGCTTCTGACATATCATAAATGTAGTATGGTATTTTTTCTCCTAAAAATCTTACAAAAATAGTTTGGGTCACAATTTGTAGAAAAATTACATGACTGTCCTAGTGTTTATTCAGGTCATTCAATAAATATAAAATAAAAACTTTCAGTGGTGCTTTATCTAAATTTATTATCCAATTTTTATTTTTTTAAGTCTCCTACACAATTACCAAATACTTAGAAAAGAGACAAGAAATTTGGATGGATAACAAGAGAGCTAATAGATGTAGTTAAATTACATATCTTTCTAATCTCATATCTATAGTGTTTTATTCAGACCTAGATAGGAAATGAAATTAGAAAAATATTGTTAAAATTGGTAATTGTAATTAAGTCAGAATTTTGTGTATGCCCAATTATATTATGATTATAAGTAAAATTGGTAACTGCTATTGCTGTTTTCTGATTCTGAGGATAGTTCATTTCCTGGCTCTCAAGAATGTAAAAAAACGGCTTTCATGTTATTTTTATTACATGTTGACCTCAATTTCCCTATGATACTGTTTCAGAATGCATTGTGTTAAAATATTTTTAAGGCAGTAAAAGGTTTTATGGTATATATATATATGTATATATATATTTATTTTATAAGACTTTTTTGACTTTTTTATAGAGAGAGAAAGGGAGAGGGAGAGAGAGAAACATCCATGTGAGAGCAAAACACCAATCGGTTACCTCCTGCATATGCTTTGACCGGGAATTGAATCAGCAGCCTTTCAATGCATGGAACAAGGCCCAACCAACTGAGCCACATCGGCAAGGGGTATATGCTCTTTTTAATGTAATTTATTTATCTGCATATCTCTCCTGGACTTCAAGTAGAATCTGATGACATCAGAGTAGTCTACTCAGAGCCGGTATTTGGCAATTTTCACAGTTGTTTTATGTACTCTTATTAAAATGGTGTAATTCTGAGAGTTATCCCTCTGTTATAGACAAAGAAACTGGTTTAAAGAAATTAAGTGATGGAGGGTATACTCAAACCAAGTCTAATATTATTTCAGTTACCCCACAGTTGCCTCTGACTCTATATAAGTTTGTAAGAGATGTAACTCCTCACATAGCATCTGTCTTTATTTAAAAGTAAGAGTAATTACTAGTGACTTTAACTTTGTGTCAGGTGGATTTTTTAATAACCTATCATAAATTGGAATATTTCTGCCAAGACAGAGTTTAATGATTTACATTGCTCTCTTTCCTAATGAACATGATAGGTCAAAAATATGAATGTGCCAAGCGATGGAATGTACACTGTGTGACCACACAGTGGTTTTTTGATAGTGTTGAGAAAGGTTTTTGTCAGGATGAATCCATGTACAAGACAGAGCCTAGACCAGAAACAAACACTATGCCTGATACTTCAACTCCTGCTGGCCAGATCAACACAATTAATAGTAAGTCTCATTGGGATTAAAGTAAACTCAGTTTTCTGTGTAAGAATTGATAATAGGATCAGTGAGAGATAGTAGGGAATTCCATCTTTTCTTGCTCTGCCTCTAGGCATAATTGTATTAGAACCAAATTGAATGAAAAATTAGTTAAGAACTTCTGATATTTTTTTTGTAATGAATGCATACTTTCTTTCATACCCTGATGTAATGAAGAAGATGCTTAAAGAAATTAAGAATACTAACAGATAGACTTAAAATTTTAATTTTTAAGAACTTGACTGGTGTGCAAATATTATTAGTACATTTCCTTTTTTTATTAGTTTGCTGCTGTTATAGATCATCTATATTCATATAAAATTTAAAACCGTTTCTAGTTTGTAGGTTACATGTTGGGCAATTGAGCAAATGTTTATAAACTATTTTTTTAATATTAGCTTCCTGGGCCTTAAGGCCAGCAACTTTAGATTTTTATTAAAAGTTAGTCACTGTTAAGTAAACATTAAATATATTTTCATTTCAATAAAATATGAGCCTTAGTTTTTTTTTTCCTTTTCGTATTTTGCCACCAAGATTTCAGTAAAAACACTTGAATCTTAACTTTGGAAGCTGTTCATAGCTCTGTGTGTATCAGAAAACTTAATCTATAGGAAAGCATGTAATCAGTTATTTTATCTTCATAAATATTACATCTTTGTTTAATATGTAGGTCGTACTCTTTCAGATGTCAGCAATATTTCCAACATCAATGCAAGTTGCATAAATGAATCGATATATAATTCCATTCTTAATAGCAAAGTGGAGCCTGTACTTGAAAATCTAGAAAATCTGGATGTCAGTGCATTTCAAGCACCTGAAGATTTATTAGATGGTTGTCGGGTATGTCTTTATTATGTAATAATTGCAGTAAGTGACGGTGTACATCAGTACTTCCTAGTCTGACTTTGAAGACCCTTCAGAGTTGGGCTTCCTCCTTTTCTGCATAAACCCTCCACACTAGCTAAGCGGGTGCACTTATTAGGCCATGTCCATCCTTTATCTGTCAGGGTCCCTCTGCCTGGGATGTACCTTCATCTGTCATCCTTCAAAGTCTATTCAGAAGATAATTTTATTCTGGCTTTTATTTAAAGCACCAAAGTAATTATCAAATATCTACTGTGAAGTACAAGAATGCAGTGGGATTATGAAGAAGTGATAAAAATCAAAGTTTCAGAATACACTCTTCATTATATCTTTTTTTTCTCATTTTTTCTATCAATATATCTTAAAACACACGAGTTGTCTTATTTACATACAGTAGATTTTGATACATATTTGTAATGTGTTACTTGTGAGAGAAATAGTGTCTTACATGCATTAATCAAAGTAAATTCTTTCTTTCTTTGCAGATATATCTTTGCGGTTTTAGTGGCAGAAAACTAGATAAACTGAGAAGGCTTATTAACAGTGGAGGTGGAGTTCGTTTTAACCAGCTCAATGAAGATGTAACTCATGTTATTGTGGGAGATTATGATGATGAATTGAAGCAGTTTTGGGATAAATCAGCCCACAGGTTTTGTCATTTTTTTATTCACAGCAATTTCTATTCTGTAATAATGCTTCTTAAAATTGCATGTTCATGTAATTTTGGAAATTGCATGGCAGGTGAGATTATGGTCTTTATAGTTTAAACTAACATATAATTCTGCATTATTTTTTAGGCCTCATGTAGTGGGAGCAAAATGGTTGCTACAGTGTTTTAGTAAAGGTTATATGCTTCCTGAAGAGCCATATATCCATGCTAATTACAAACCAGTGGAAATTCCAGTTTCAGATCAACCTGAAAGTAAAACAGCCCTTTTAAAAAAGAACAACAGCTTCTCCAAGAAAAACTTCGCTTCTGCTGAAAAGCATGAGCAAGCTGATGAAGATCTGCTCTCTCAATATGTAAATAATAATGCAACAGTAGGTAAGAAATAATTGATTAGTGTTTATAGTTATTGGGAACTATTTTAGTAGTAGCGTAAAAAATATTTTTATTTTGAGAGTACATTTATTAAAGCTGGGGAAAGTGAAACAAGGAAGGGCTTAGAATAGAAGCAGTAGCCTGGCCAGTGTGGCTCAGTTGGTTGAGTATTGACCCATAAACCAGGAGGTCACGGTTAGATTCCTGATCAGGGCACATGCCCAGGTTGTGGGCTTGATCCCCAGTAGGGAGCATGCAGAAGGCAGCTGATCAATGATTTTTCTCATTATTAATGTTTATCTCTTTCCCTCTCCCTTCCTCTCTGGAATCAATAGAAATATATTTAAAAAATAATAAAATGAATACACTTTTAAAAAAAAAGGAAGAAGAAACTCCAAATAGATCAGAAATTCTAATGTGGACCAAAAAAAAAAAAAGGCAGCAGGAGAGAGCCTAGGCAGGGCTGTTTTTGGCTAACTGGAAAGTCAGAGAAAAGGGGCCTTGGAGACGGGGCCAGGGGGTTAGCCTGGGACAAGCTGCTGCTGCCCATTGCTCCCCTGGTTGCAAATCTCCTGAGGACCCTGAGAGTTTAGGAGATGCTTGCCTGAGAGGGAGAGAGCCTGTTAGTCACCTTTTCTAAGCAGGCAAAGCTAAGAACCCTCAGACCCTCTCTCTCTCTTCTACTCAAGGGCTCCACTTGCATCTGTTTTGTATTTGGCATCACTTGGTTTGAGTTTATAACAAAGTTTTTGTTTTTTTAATTATAGTTTATATTCAATATTTTGTATTAGTTTCAGGTGTACAGCATGGTGTTTCGACAATCATGCTTTACATAATGATACCCCCAATCTTTTTTTTTTTTTAAATTGATTTCAGAGAGGGAGAGAGAAAGAGAAACATCAGTGATGAGAGAGAATCATTGATCGGCTGCCTCCTGCAGGCCCCACACGGGATTGAGCCAACAACGCGGGTATGTGCCCTGACTGGGAATTGAACCGTGACCTCCAGGTTCATAGGTTGACGTTCAACCACTGAGCCACGCCAGCCGGGCACCCCCAATCTTTCACTACCATCTGCACCATCGCTATTTTGATATTATTGTCTATATTCCCTATGTGGTACTTTACATCCCTGTGACTATTTTATAACAACCTTGTAACAAATATCTCTTACTGGGTTATTGTGGTTTTTAGTGCATACAGTGCTATACTGTGGACTACTGCCACCTCAGGTATTCTCAGTGTGGTAGGGAAATTGCCGCTGAAGAGTAGTAAGCATCATATGTCCTTTAAAAAAAATGAAAGATTTAATACATCCAAAAAGATATAAAGAATAATATAATTAATAACTGTATACTATCTAGCTTTAAAAAAAGAAAGAATATTCTATGCCTGTCAATTCCTCCCCATCTTTTTATAGTTTACAATCTGTGTAAACAACATATATACACTGTTCATTTTGTGTATATTAACTTAAATGATAGATGGTATGTCCTCTCTTTCTACCTTCCTTCTCTAAATGTGAGAGATACTCATCTGATCCAACTAACTAACTAAGAAAAGACCACACTGCTATAATGTATTCATTTTCCCACTTATGGACATTTTTATTATCTTTTCTTTGCCAATACAAACAATACTACTGAGATTGTTCTTATGTATGTTTCTGCACATGAGCAAGAATTTTTCTAGGGTGGGCGTGGTTGATTCATGGGATACGTATTTATATAATGCAAATTGCTTTGTCTTTGTTTACCACTTTACACTAGAATGATAGTGCCCTCTTGCAGTCTGGGACCCCTCGGAGGATGTCTACCTGCTGGCTGAGGCCTGCTCCCTAGGGGATCAGGCCCAAGCTGGCAGTCAGACATCCCTCTGGCAGCCTGGCAGCCCTCAGGGGATGTCCACTTACCAGCAGGGAGCAAACCTAAGCTGCAGTCGGACATCCTTAGTGCTGCTGAGGAGGCGGGAGTGGCTCCTGCCATCACCACTGTGCTGGCAGCCATCAGCCTGGCTTGTGGCTGAGCAGAGCTCCCGCTGTGGGAGCGCACTGACCACCAGGGGACAGCTTCTGCATTGAGCATCTGCCCCCTAGTGGTCAGTGTGTATCATAGTGACCAGTCATTCCCTGTCATTCTGCTGTTAGGGTCAATTTGCATATTACCCTTTTATTATATAGGATTGCTTTGTCTTTGTTTACCACTTTACACTAAAATGATAGTAAGCGTTTCTGTTGCACATACTTTCAACATTTAGTATTTCTTGTAAGTTTGACATTTCTGCCAGTTTGATGGATGTAAAGAAAGATCTCATAGTCATTTTGAGTGCTATTTGGCCATAATATCTTTATTTTTATTTTTTTGGCCATAATATTTTAAGGTAGTTGAATTTTTCAATCTATTCTTTTGTGGTTGTGCTTTTCTATTTTATGTAAGTTTTCCTACCCTGAGTCATAAAGTTATTCCTTTTTTACATTGCTTTTATTTCTATTGTCATTTAATCAAATTACAGTTTTCTTAAACGGAACACTAGGCTTTATATATATATATGTATATATAAATTTTTTTTTTTTTATTGATTTCAGAGAGGAAGGGAGAGAGAGAGAGAGAGAGAAAAACATCACTGATGAGAGAATCATTGATCGGCTGTCTCCTGCACATCCCCTACTGGGGATCGAGCCTGCAACCCAAGCATGTGCCCTTGACTGGAATCAAACCCAGGACCCTCCAGTCCACAGGCTAACGCTCTATCCTCTGATCCAAGCCAGCTAGGGCAGAACACGAGGCATTTTAATTGCGGGACTTATGATTACTGTCCTCCCAAGAGGAGCTGCCATGTTACTCTGTCAAGGGGTGGACTTACAGGTGGCTTATGTTAGTGCCCCCTGCTGTTGTGTGGCACACATCCTGGCCCTAGAAAGTTCAGGTACTTTTGGATTTCAGACCTCTCCCCACCACTGGTGTTGGTTCATTCCGCCTCTGGAGACCCTGAGCTGCTTTGAGGCAGAACAGCCTTAGAGTTCCACTGTTAGTTATTCCTTATATCTGTCTTAGAAGTCTTAAGCTTTTGCTTTTTCACATGTCTTCATTCCATGTGGAGTTGATTTTTGTATTTGAAGTGAACTTTTCTAATTGTATGTTATCCGTGTGGATAATCACTTGTTTTTAATACTTTTTATTGAATAGTCCATTGTTTCTCCACTAGCTAGCACTACTGCCTCTGTCATTTTAAGGTTCTGTTAAGTGGGGGTCTGTTTAGGCTTTCCATTCTGTTCCATTGAGATACCACACTGATAAACTGTCTTATTATAATCATCTTGTAATATGTTTGGCTATCTGAGATTAAAAGACTCCAATTTTCTTTACAAAACTGTTTCAAGTCTTCTTGTACCTTTGCTTCCAGACCAATTTTTAAAATTAGTTTGTCAAGAAGAAAAGATTCATTTATGTTTTCGCATGTGTCAGAATTTCAAATTTAGTTTTTTATGTATTTTGAAGTTTTTTTAAACTTAGTCAATTTTGTCTGATATTAACCCCTGCCTCATGTGGATCAGCATTAGTATGACTGACTTTTTCTTTTAACTGTAAATTTGGTTGATTTATGTTTGTTATTTGTGATATATTTTTATTATTTTCTACCATCTTATTTTTTATTTTGTCCCATTTTTCTATGTTTCCTACTCTAAACTTCATATCTTTCCCTCTACTGATTTGGAAGTTAAATATTTTTATTTAACTTATTTTTAAGCGATATGAACGGCCTTAATTGGTTGCAGTGGGAAGTGGAAAAGGCAAGGCTATGACAGCTCTGGCTCCTGAGGCAGCTTCACAGACTCTGTAGCCACCCTTGAAAAGCTTTTTTAGAGAAGGAAGGGAGAGAGAGAGAGAGAAACATTGATATGAGAGCTGGTCCTGGAAGATAGGAGCATGGTTGTCTGTTAACTGGTCAAGAATGGTTTCTGGCCGGGCTGGTGTAGTTCAGTGGTTGAGCATTGACCTATGAACCAGAAGGTCACAGTTCGATTCCATGCCAGAGCACATACCCGGGCTTCGGGCTCAATCCCAAGTAGTGGGTTATGTGGGAGGCAGCCGATCAGTGATTCTCTCTCATCATTGATGTTTTCTCTCTCTGAAATCAATAAAAACATATTTTTAAAAAAAGAATAACTATTAAACTACTTCGCAGAATGTTTTATACTATGATGTCACCTTCCTCATATATCTCCATAAATTATAAACATATACTATTATTCTTTTTGTTCATTATAGTATGTAACTGAGGATCAGAGTTTCCTGACCTGATCAGTAAATGCTCTATTGAAAACTATACTTCTTCAGAGTACCAATAAGAGCAATTTAACTTTCATTACGTAAGAATAAGCTATATACATTTACATATAACATATTTAAATATGTATGGCAGTGACTAGTTTAAAAGTAAAAATTTTAATGTCTATTTGAGATGAGAATAGAAATAAGAAGACAACATTATAACAATGTTATGGACTCTGGAGCCACACAGAGATTGGTTTATATCATTTTTGCCACTTAATAACTGACGTTAGGCAAGTTACATACCTCTTTAAGCCTGAGATTTCGCTTGGAGAAAGGGTATAGATATACTAATAGTGTCAACCCCATAGTATCATGAGCATTAATTACATGCATGTAAAACACTTGGGCACAATGCCTGTAAAGATGAATAAATGAAGAATCCTTGAATAGCTTCTAGGCTTACTTGAATCCCATATAGGAGGGGTTGGCAAGTCGTTTTTATAAAAGGTCAGATGGTAAATATTTTGGGCTTTGCCAGCCACATTCTCTCTATCATGTATTCTGTTTTTACAATAAATTTTTAAAAATATAAAAATGATTCTTAACCCACAGACTGTGAGAGGCCCATTTTGGCCCCTAGGCTGTAGTTTGCTGATCCTACTGTAAAATGTTAACCTTCCAACATGGCACCACTAGAGTTTTTAAGAACACACTAAGTTTTTACCTCCTAAACTTTTAGTCTTGATCTGACAATGTTTGTTGCACACTAGGGACTGTGTATTTTAGTTACTGACATTTATATTTTATATAGCTGTCTTTTTTCTTTTACTACCCATCTGTCAGCCAACTTGATCTTAAAAAGAAGTTAAGATCATTTGCTTGGGTCCTTGATCAGTTCTCTTAAGAAATCTGTATAGAAGCTAAGTATAAGTAGCTCCAATCTTCTATCTACAATCATAAGAGCATAATATGCTAATTAGACCGGACGACCTTCTGGACGAAGCCACGTTGGTGAGGGGCGTTGGGGGGGAGGGAAGGGGCAGAGGCGGCCACTGTGGCAGCAGCGGGGGCCGAGCCCCTTGCACGAATTTCATTCATTGGGCTTCTAGTTTCAATATAAAACATTTTAGGAATTTATAAAAGAGAAGTAACCATAGTTCTCTTATTATTACATTTACACAGTTATTTTCATGTAAATGGCTTGACTACTTTAGGCCTGTTACTTCTGTTTTTTCTTTAATGATATACTCCCTAATGTGAATTATCTAAACCAGTTTTGGAACTAAGACACACCTTGGGGTGATTAGAGCTTCATAATTTTCAACTAATTAGAGTTTCTAGTATGCTAGGAATACTTAGAATGGTTAACATGATTGCTGATACCCTTCCTAATGAAACATGGTAATACTAATAGCATTCTTGATAACCCAGAAGATGGAGTGGTTTCATATCCTTTATGCTTGTGTATTTATTAAAGCCTTAGTTTTTAAGTGTAGTCACAATTCTCAGACTCTGTGTTACCTTAATATCCTTGCTAGAAAGTAAAGTTTATAAAATAAACTGTTAGAAAACATTCCTTTTTCTCTTCCAGTTGAAGCTGCAAAGTCTGAAGTTGGGGCCTTTAATGACACTACTCATGTTGAGCCCTTGAATGATTCTACTCATATTTCTATGCAAGAAGAAAACCAATCTTCTGTCAGTCATGACCCCCCTGATTACTCTACAATTACGGAAGAAGGTTTATTTAGCCAAAAGAGTTTCCTTGTTTTGGGTTTTAATAGTGAAAATGAGTCTAACATTGCAACTGCCATAAGAGAAAATGCTGGAACAACCGTATCCCTTCAGAGCAGAATTGTTGCCGATTATGCAGTGGTTCCTCTGCTGGGGTCTGAAATAGAAGCAACTGTGGGAGAAGTTGTTACAAATACCTGGCTGGTAAGAAAATACATATGAATGCCAAGAGTGCTAATGTTTATTTCTTAGCAGTTCAATTTAGGTAAATTGGTGTTTGGGTATGGGCAGTGAGTGACTGGGTTTTCTTTTAGCAAAGGAAGTGCTAAAACAGGAAAACATTCAAGCTTCTTGGCCCTAATCCTGGTGGAGACTGTCGTTGCCCGGGGCCAGAGCAGCAGCATTTCTTGTTAGGGAGTTACTCCAGGTCATCTCATACAATTTCAGTTTTCCCGGTTTTCTCACCACCAAAGCATGACATGCACTTTTGTATTCCATCTTGTTGGCTTATCACTGGTAATTTCACCATTGATTTTTTTTTTTAACTTTTCAAGAATTTAGAGGAAAAAATTAAACTAATACATTGAACGAAATTAAATTTGAAACAATATTCAATAACTTCAATAAGCCTGACTGATTTAATATTCTTAATATTTTAGAATGTAATATTTAATATAATGAATTGAGATATTTCTTTACATATTTAAAATGTAATGAGAATAAGCATACACAAGTTTATATTAAAGTTACTTTTCATTTAACCAAAATTATTGCTACTATAACTGAACCAGTGTTAGCGACTGGTTGCTTATTTCAGGTTGATGTTGTTTCTCTTGTTTTTAAAGGTAACTTGTATAGAGTATCAGACTTTAATTGATCCCAAGTCAAGTCCTCTCTTCAAGCCAGTCCCAGTAATGGCAGGAATGACTCCTTTAGAGGATTGTGTTATTTCCTTCAGCCAGTGTGTGGGAGCAGAAAAAGACTCATTGACATTCTTAGCAAAGTTCCTTGGAGCAAGGTATGTAATATTTTTAGTGTACCTGCTGTCTTGACGTACTTTTGTTTGTTTTGACTTATTGGAAAGCCTCCAAATTAGAATTTGGCTGGGTGTTTTTATAATATTTACCCTAGTATGGGTAGTGTGTAGTGTTTCTATGTGATGGCTCAACAGGAGAAGGGAGAGTGTATCAGGTGGGTGCCTGGCAGATATTAAGACTACAGACATTAATGCTTACCTGCCAGGAAAGGGAATATTTAAAGCTGATATGTGCGCCTTTATTGAATATTGCTTATCTAAGAATTATTTCAGCCAGAAATGCAAATGTTAAGTGGGAATAATGAATATTTTGGGAGAAAGAAAATGAATTTAAAAGTTGCTTCCAAAATCCAAATTAACCCTAAGTGAACATTAGATGGTAGTTGTTTTAAAAGAAATAGAAAACTATTACATTAGTAATTATAAATAAACTAAACTTTTACATAAAAGAATAGTTATTTAGCCCATCCGGTGTGGCTCAGTGGTTGAGCACCAACCTATGAACCAGGAGGTCATGGTTTGATTCCTGGTCAGGGCACATGCCCAGATTGTGGGCTTGATCCCCAGTGTGGGGTGTGCAGGAGGCAGTCAATCAATGATTCTCTCATCATTGATGTTTCTATCTCTCCCTCTCCCTTCCTCCCTGAAATCAATAAAAGCATTTTTTAAAAAGAGCTAATTTGGCTGCTCAAAATAAATAAGTAAATAAATAAATAGTTATTTTAGATTATGAAGCAAACTTAAAAAATTTTAAGCAAGAAGTGCACCTAAAATTAAGTGATTAAGAACAAAAAAAAGATTGTCAAAGATATGTCAAGTAAATGCAAACAGAAAGGAGGGCCCTGGCCCTGTGGCTCAGTTGGTTGGAACATCATCCTGTACACCAAATGGTGGCGGGTTCCATTCCAGGTAAGGACACATGTGTAGTTTGCATGTTCAGTCTCCAGTCAGGGCATGAACAGGAGGTAACATCAATGTTTATTTCTCACATTGATGTTTCTCTCTCTCCATCACTTCCTCTCTCCACACCTCCCTCCTTCTCTTCCTCTCCCTCTCTTCCCTCTCTTCTTCTTCCTCTCTCCCTCTCCCTCTCCCTCTTCCTCTCTCTAAAATCAATAAAAACATCCTTGGGAGAGGATTAAAAAAAAAAAAAAGAGGGGTTGCAATTTTAATGCCAGACAAAAAAGAGGATTTATAAATCAAGAGTACTGTTCACACTGAAGGTTATATGTAACATAGACCATGACTGTCATTCATAAAACAAAAACAACAGGAGATTTAAGGAGGAATCAACAGAAATACATTCCTTGTAGGAAACTTCAATTCCCATCTTTTTACTTCATGACAGGTCAAACAGAAAACAACGAAGGATAGATTTAAATAACATAGTTAGACATGTACCCTGAAACAGTGAGCATACCTGTTCAAGTGCCTATGGAACATGCATAAATATTGCCTAAAGAAATTTGCCACAAAGAAAGCCTCAGTAAATTCCTAAAGTAGAAAGAGTGCAAACTCTATTCCAAAAAACTGGAAATGAATAGTAGAAATAGAAAGTGAAAAGACCTTGTCAACTGGACATTCTTTGAACAACTCGTGGTTCAAAGAGGAATTTGAAACTATTTATAAGCCTAGAAATTGTTATCAAATCAGTAGTGACAAGGAACTCTAGTGCCCAGATTGTGATCTTAAAAATGTTTGTTTTTTTGTTTTTGTTTTTTTTTGAGAGAATGGAAGTGGGAGAGACAGACAGACAGACATTGATTTGTTTATGCATTCCTTGGTTGATTCTTGTATGTGCCCTGATGGGGGATCGAACCTATAACCTTGGTGTTATCAGGACGATGGTCTAACCAACTGAGCTACTCGTCCAGGGCCTGGATTGTGATCTTAAAAGACCATTTCCCACTAAAGCGTAAAGAAACCATTAATTCCACATTTGGGACAGCAAAAGGTACCAGTGAGTCTGGAGCACTTGTGAGACCAGATAGCAAATACTAGGGAAGGTTGTGTCAAAAGGAACTGCAAAGAAAGGAAAATTTAAGTATTACTAGAGATGATAATGGTAGTGGATCCAAACACATCAAATAATGTTTCACTCATGATTTCCTAATGACAAACAAACTAAGCTAATTGGTCATGTTTGAAAGTTGCTAGGGAACCAACCCTTCACTTTGAGAGCTAGTAAATAAAGGGAAAGAATCAAGTATACATATATTTTTGTTAATCTTCACCTGTGGAAATTTTTTCCATTGCTTTTCAGAGAGTGGAAAGGAAGGAGGGGGTGGTTATTTCTTGAAAGTCTAGTTTAATTAATTTGCTTATGTTTTTATAAAAAAGTTTTAATTGTAACATTTTTATCCTAAAGTATTAAGGGTATTAGCTTATTTTAAGATATAGAACTGATACTTACACATAGAACTCTGACAACACTGTTGTGTTAGAAACTTCATTCTTAGTTTACTGGCTAATCGTGTATATGACCATTTGCTTTCTTTAAATACAACTTTTAGCGTTCAAGAATTCTTTGTTCGCAAATCCAATGCAAAGAAAGGCATGTTTGCTAGTACACATCTTGTGTTGAAAGAACCAAGTGGTTCTAAATACGAAGCTTCCAAGAAGTGGAATTTACCGGCAGTTACTATAGCTTGGCTGTTGGAGACTGCTAGAACTGGAAGGAGAGCAACTGAATACCATTTTCTGATTGAAAATTCAACTAAAGAAGGTTAGTGCTTTTATTTTGTTCTTTTGTATATACATGGTTTTATAATTTGATGGTTTCTGGGATATCAGTGTGTCAAAGCTTATTTTTAGGTAAGGTCATTGATTGCTACTTTTCACAATGGGCACAGTGAGCCACTGTTGGGCATTCGTTATTGGGTGGGAAAATAAATGTGTTCATAGCACAAATGTTTAATTTGTAATTGTACTAGCGAGTGTAGGCACTATCTGAAAGTAGAGGGTGCAAAACAATATAGGAGTGTTCTAGGGGCTCAGTGTTTGAAGTCTAAAGATGTGAGCTTGATCCCTTTTCCGTGTTCCTTCTGTGGCTCATACTGACACACTGTATTAGTGTTCTCTCTTCTCATCCTTGGACTTGGTGTGTTTTCCCTAGCCTACCTCATGCCTGTTCCTCTTTCTTACCTTTCAGTTCTCAGCTTGGATCTCTTCCTTGGGAAGCCTTCCTTGACTCACCAAGTCTGGCCTTTGTGTTGTCATCACACCCTGCATTACCCCTTTTATAGCTCTAGTTTACTCAACTATAAGCTCTGAAAAGCAAGGAATACGCATGTCTTGGGCATTATGTATTTCCATCGGCTAGCACTGAGACTGGCATGGAGTAGCCATCTAATGTGTTTGTTAAATGTTGGAAAACAGTAGGAGGCGGGTGGAAGGACACAATAGCCAACCTCTTATAAGATGGTTCACAGACAGTTCAGCAGCTTGGGAACAGCTCTCAGAGCCATTCCTTACCAGGCAGCCTAGAAATTTTACAATTGAGGCAAAGTGATGTTTTGGTCATATTAAAATTTCATTAAGTTTCTTTTCCAGAAACTTGACTAGTTGTTAACTCTGAGTACATGTCATTAGAATTTTCTTTACTCTGCCGTTGATTATGATGACTTTTAATTTTTTGGCAAATTGTGAGGTTTACTGAGAATATTTTGAGTTACAGCAGGCTGAAATGAGAAATCTGATTTCATTTATTTCGGTTGATGTGCTTGTCTAACTCAACTTTTTTTTTTTTTTAAGAGGATCACTTTTTATTTTATTTCAGAGAGGGAGCGGGAAAGATAGAAACAGGAATGATAAGAGAGAATCATTGATTGGCTGCCTCCCACACGCCCCCTGCTGGGGACCAAGCCCACAACCCAGGCATGTGCCCTTGACTGGAATCAAACCCAGGACCCTTCAGTCGATAGGTCGACACTCTATCCACTGAGCCAAACCAGCTAGGGCTAACTCAACATATTTTAATACATCATCTGGTCTGTTTCTTTAAAAAGTAGGTATATAATTTTGTGATTTAAAGTGTACTTGAGAATTCGCATGAAAATAACAGTAAGATAAAAATCTCATGTGCTTTAGAAAAAAAAAGTTGATATTAGTGGCTCACATTTGCTCTTCTTTTTAAATCTCCAGAGCAAAGCTTAGAAACTGAAATAACAAATGGGATGAATCTAAATTCAGATGCTGCGGAGCATCCTGCCATAAGCCTGGAAACTCACAGAAAAGCTGCTGTTACTCCTTTAGATATGAACCGCTTTCAGAGTAAAGCTTTCCATGCTGTGATCTCACAGCACACCGGGCAGGCTCCACAGCCCGCTCCCGCAGCACAGCCGCTGCAGAAGGAGCCCTCGTTAGACCTGGATACGCCATCAAAATTTCTGTCCAAGGACAAACTCTTCAAGCCTTCCTTTGATGTAAAGGTAAGCTTTCTAGAAAATGGTCCTGGAATTGACAGTTTTATAGTTTAAGCACCATATTCTGCATCACCTCTAAAGTTTATAGTAGTAAATTTTCCAGAGATGTTGGCAAGTAGATTCATATTATTGAGTGGAGTCCCTGTATGTACCTGTGGTTGGTAACAGCTAGAGAAAAAAATAGTGTGAAATCAGGACCTCTTTGGGCTTCCTTATTTCCATTTGTAAAATAATGGAATATATGTAGATGACCTCTAAGGTCTCATAGTTCACAGAATCTTTGAGTAGTAAATGAAGTAATAGTAGGCAGGAAAGTAGTTGAAATATTTTCAGTCATTTAGACCTTTTTTTAGATACCTTGCAGAGGAAAGCTCGTGGTTCTGAAATAGTTTCTGTAAAGTTATAAAACACTTTTAAAGCTTTCATTGTTTAGAGCAGTGATTTTTCAACTGGTGTACCACAGGATTTTTAAAACATGCAGTACTTGGCTAGTCAGGGGCACTCACCTCTTTTCCCTTAGATTGTCAATTTTTAATATACACATTCGGAAAACCTTTGTTATATAAAGGACTTTCGGCTTTAATGGACACCCCCGCACCCAATTAGTTCGTTATATTGAGGTTTTACTGTAGTAATAAAAATCTGAAAAGAATAATTGAGGGTAGGAACTAGTCCTAGTTATTAAAACAAAGTCGCAGTAATTGAAGCAATTTGTTATTGTCACATGAGTTATCAAATCAATGCAGAAGATTACACCCCATATATAGAATTTATTATGTAATAAATGATGTATTTCAATCAGACAACTGAGGAAACAGTTGGGATGAGACTTCATAACCTAGCATCAGAATAAATACCAGAGGATCATATATTTAAACATGAGAAATGAAGGCATAAAAACTCTAGAACAGACCATGAGAGTTTGTTTTTAAATTAATTCAATGTGAGGGAAACCTTTCTAACTATAACATACCCCAAATGAAAATAAAAATTCATATAAATTTGACAGTAATAAAAAGTTAACTCCACTTATTTATTCTTCTTCAGAGAGGAAGAGGGAGAGAGGGTGAGAGAAACATCTATGGGGGAATCATTGATCAGCTGCCTCTTGCATGCTCCACACTGAGGATGGAGCCACCAACCCAGGCATGTGTCTTGACCAGGAATCGACCATGACCTCCTGTTCATAGGTCGACGCTAAACCACTGAGCCAGTTATCTGCATTTAAATACGAAAATTTTATAAATGTGCAGTAAAAGTAATTGTTTAAAAAAAATTCTTCCTAGCAAAAATTTGACAAACTACAAATTGGGAACAAGTGTGTGTGTGTGTGTGAGAATTCATACAAACATCTTCATGTAAGTGAATATAAAAAAGACATAACCCAATGGAAAAATGGGCAAAGGGTAGGAAGGGATAGCTATAAAAAAAATTTAAATACAAATATTCCACATGCATAAAGATGTTTAATATCATTTAGTATAAGAGGGTGGAAATTGAAACATACAAATATATTTAACCCACCCACTGTGCTGTCAAGCATATTGGGAAGCATACACTCAAATGCTTTGTTCAGGAGAATGTCAGTGTTGGTACATACATTTTATTTAAGTGGCTCCCTTTACTCTTGCATGTGCAAAATGGTGTGTGTGTGAGTCATTGCGTCATTATACTGGCAAAAGATTGCTAATCTAAATATTAGTCAGTTGAGCACCGTCAAATACATTCTGTATACACGTGGGATGCTGTGCTTTAAGATGGGAAAGAGAAAGCAAGCCTCTGGATGCAGTGACCTCCTCTCGTGCGGGAACTGTGGATGGCTTGAGCATAGGAGCGTACTTTGTACTTTTGAAGATTCTTCTTAAGTCTCAGCTCAGTCTGACTTCTTAACCTTCCTTGTAGTTTGTCTTGCTTATATCCATCCTTGCTCACTTGTTTCCGTCTATTTTTCTAAAATATTTTATTGAATTTTTACAGAGAGGAAGGGAGGGGGAGAGTTAGAAACACTGATGAGAGAGAAACATCGATCACCTGCCTCCTGCACACTCCCCACTGGGGATGTGCCCGCAACCAAGGTACATGCCCTTGACCAGAATCGAACCTGGGACCCTTGAGTCCACAGGCCGACGCTCTATCCACTGAGCCAAACTGGTCAGGGCGCCATCTGTTTTTTTGTCTGCTTGTTTGTTTTGGTTCTGATTGTCCTTTATTTAAATGTAAGATTCAGGTAAATGTGGCAAACACTGCTGAAAATGTAAGCTTCTCAGTCTCTAAACCAATTTGCGGGATAGTATGAATTTTTTTCTTTGTAGTGTATAGATACAAATAATATTTCATTTTATTGTTTGGAGGAAAACCAGATGAGGTTACAGCTGTAATCCAGTTAATTTTGAGGATTATCCCCCTTTTCTCTAACTCTCCTTTTTCTCTTCCTTTCCCCTCCTCTTCCTCTCCACCTCTCTCCTTTCGCTCTCCCCCTCCGTACATATAGGATGCACTGGCAGCCTTAGAAACTCCAGGAGGACCTAGCGAAAAGAAAAGGAAGCTGAGTACACCCCTCTCTGAAGTCATTGGCAGAAACTTGAAGCTTGCTTTGGCAAACAGCTCAAGAGATGCTGTGGCTCTTTCTGCCAGCCCTCCACTGAAGGACACTCAATCAGAGACGGTAGAGTTAGATCTCTTACTGAAAAGATGTTTTAGATCAAACATTTAAAACAGTGATGGTCAATGTGTTTTATTTTCCATGGACAGGAAGAAGCTCCAAAGCCACTTCACAAGGTAGTGGTATGTGTTAGTAAAAAACTCAGCAAGAAGCAGAGTGAACTAAATGGGATTGCGGCTTCTCTAGGAGCAGATTACAGGTATTGCCCATCTTTCTGATTGGTGGTGATATGGCCTAAGTTTAAGGGAAACTTCTAGCTCTGTGACCGCCTACAAAGAAACATTTCTCTTGCCTTTTAGTGTGTCATTTTATGTACAAAATCTCTCCAAATGGTTTTTAATTCACCACATCCTTTTAAAATGTTCTCTGCCATATCAGTTCACTCTTATATGTGTGCCTTTTAGGGTGCATTCAACAAATTTTTGACAACCTATTTTGTGCCATTTACTGTTCTAGAACTTGGCATCTAGGTATGAAATTAAGCATATTTTTACCTAGTGATTTTCAGATTAGAGCCCTCTGAGTACTACTGAGTATTCTAGCAGTACTCCTGAATTAAAAAGGTCTTTTTGTGGATGTTTTAATTTCTATGATTTTTACTACTTTGGAGACATAGATTAGCAGATACGCTCTCGCCCTGAGAGCCAAGCTAAAGGCATGTCTCCAGGACAAATGGCATCAGTGTGAGAGAATTGAGAGGCCCTGGCCTGTTCTGGCCAATCTGAGTTGACTGATTCTTCCACTGTCTGCAGTGCTAGCTTTCTTCATCACTTGTGTTCAGCCATTCATAGATAGCATAATGAGTGGTTTTACAAGTAGCAAACAGTTTGAGGATTACGATTAGCTTCATCTTTCCCTTTAGTAGTCCTATTATTTCAGTTAGCTTTCTATTTGATAAGAGAAATTAGATCAGAATATAAAAATAAAATGTGTCACAGTTATAAGCATTTATTGTAGGATAGTGAAGCTTTCTTATAACTATTATTACTACCTATTATATGTTTAATATAGTATTATCTATTGTTACGTTATTTAGTCACATATTACCGGTTGCTGAGCACTTAGTATGAGCATTATCTCATTTCATTTTCATAAGTCTGAGGGTGTGTGTGTGTGTATGTATATGTATGTATGTATATATATATAATTTGTCAAAAATTGAATGTTTCCTTGGATATTGTTTGGATGTGGACTTGATGTAAGACATAAAAGGGACATACATGACTTTTGTTTTTATGAGACTTAAAATGCCAATCCTCTCAGTATGAAAAATAGAATATATTACTGAAATTCCTAAATAGGATTTAACTGGCCAATTGCATTAATTTAAAGTTTATATTAAATCTATGCCTGAAATGGATTTCTCGGACTTGGTGATAGTTGAGAGGGAAGAACCCTTGACTATGCAGAGGTTACAGTAGTTATGTGTTTGTAGGATAATCACTTCTCAAGTGCAGATATCCCAGATGTCCCCGTCCACAGCTAGGACCAGAACTTCCGAAGAGATCACTGATCCTGTCTCCCGCTTCCAGCAGTTAAACATCTAGACTAGAGCTGCTCAGCACATCAGATGCAGATATTTATTACAGATGTTGAATAACATTCACTGTATAAAACGACTTCAGAAATATGTAACTTACTTACTTCTATAATTTAAAAAAATAAATCAGAATATATGATTAGTATGTAAGTGTCTGTGCCTGCCGACACTAGAAAAAAATCGAGTATTCATTTGGATGCATGCATATGGGAAGTTCACCTCAAATGCTGCAGCCACAGCTGAAACAGATACTACAAGCAGCATTTCTTTTGGTTATGTGACTTATCAAGAATTAAGCAAAGTACAGTCATCAGTCACTCAGTAGTTGTATGTCTGGTATACTAGTGTATATTAAAACTGCAAAAACAAAACAACCCTTGGGTTTATGTGTAAAACAGGTTTCTGAGGTCAGGAAAATATTATGTAGGAAGAATCAGGAGATCAGAGCATAATAAAATAGTTAAGAGTGTGAGTTTTAAAGTCAAACTTGGCTCTGTCATTTACTAAATATCCTTGAACATCTTACTTAACCATGTCCTTTAGTTCTATTATCTGTAAAATCAATATAATACCAGTGTTTCTGGATTGTTGTGAGGGCTGTATGGAGATAATGATGTGTAAACTACATGGTCTATTATGGGGTGTAGAGCAAGTGTATAATGAATAGTGACTGCCAACAACTGAAGACAGATTGAATGCTTGGATTTGAAAATACCTTTATTATTACTATAAAGTTATATCCATTATAAGAAAGTTGAAACAATTCAGAAAAGTATAAAGAAAAAAGTGATATTCTAAAGTACATCCTTCCAAATATCTCTATCTATATATACCTAGAAATATATGTATAAAATTTGACCAAAAAAGTGGAGCCTATCATTTAATATTCTTGCTTGTCCTAGTTTTTACTTACGTTAGTTCTTGAAATTTTGCGAATGTTAAAATATTCTATTCATAGAAATGATGATCATCTTAAACTAATGTAGATATTTCTCTTAGTTATTTGGTTTTTATACTTGGTTGTTTCAGGTGGAGTTTTGATGAAACAGTGACTCATTTCATCTATCAAGGGCGACAGAATGACACTAATCGAGAATATAAATCTGTAAAAGAAAGAGGAATACACATTGTTTCAGAGCACTGGCTTTTAGAAGTAAGCAATACTTTTAATCCTCCTGTGTCTGTTAAATGAAAATGTACATGAACACTATTTCAAGGCATAACCAATTTCAGTGTACGTACAGAAGTTTGATTACCTTATTTAACAGTGCACATCTCATTTCTTTGGCATCAAAAACTAAATATCTCTGGTTCTGTTTTACTAAAGAGAAATGATATGGAAAAAATGTTATGATAATTTAAGGAGAATTACTTAATGCATGTATTTACCAATACAACTGTCTTTTCTCTTCTTTCTGGGTATTTCCTTGGAATGTGGTTGATACCTTGGCAAAAGCATAGAAATAGAATTAGATTTTATACATTAGTAAACATGACATTAAAAAGTGAGGACAATATTGAATATAAACTGCAATTTAAAAATTAAAAAAAATTTTTTTAAGTGAGGAGAGTTTAATTGTCCTTTGTATAATGGCTGTTTTAGTATCGACTAGCTTTCAAAACTTTAATTTAGCAAGCCCTGGCTGGTGTGCTCAGTGGTTAGAGCATTGGCCTGCACACCAAAGGGTCATCGGTTTGATTCCTGGTCAAGGGGTTATGTACCTAGGTTGCAAGTTCCATCCTCCGCCAAGATCAGGGCATGTGTGGGAGGCAACCAATCAATGTGTCTCTCAAATTGATGTTTCTATCTCCTCCTCCCTCCCTTCCACACTCTAAAAAACTCAATAGAAAAAAATATCCTCAGGTGAGGATTAACAAAAAACAAATAAACCTTGAATTTTTATCCTGTCATTATTATTCCCTAATGTATTGATTATCCTTATCCAACTTAACATCATGTATTCTCTAAGATGTTTTCAGTCCTGCTTAAAGTACACCATTCTATTGCAGTGTGCCCAGGAGTATAAGCACCTTCCTGAATCTCTGTATCCACATACTTATAATCCCAAAATGAGCTTGGATATCAGCGCAGTGCAAGGTGACAGACTCTCTAATAGTCGGCTGCTCTCAGCTGATGGGACAACAAACAATGATGAGGTAGGTAATATGGAAGGTACATTTTCCCCCTCCCTGAGCAGAGCGTATAATCACATATGGCTGTGAAACCATATACAATGGCTTGGTTTGAGCAACTGTTATTTTTCTCCTTCAATAGCCAGATCATTTGCCTGTAGAAGAAAATGATATAGACAATATGACCACCAGTAACAAAGAAGTAGCAACGTCAAATGGAAATGGAAGGAATGACTCTAAAGGAGGTAAAGTAATTTAAATTATATTTTAAAAAATTGTATATAATTTCTTTGCATCAAATGGAAAAATAAGTGCTAAACAGAAATAAAACATATATTTGAGGATTGATTGAAGTCCCATGCCAGTCATTAAGAAATAATATTCAAAATTTTAAGTGGTTTAAGTGAAATAGCCCTATTTTATTAAAGGTAGGTGGAATTGGTGACTAAAATTTTTTTCCTTTGGTTCAGTTGTCAGTGATATTCAGAAAGTTCTATTATGTGTAATATATACACTGAGTCGCCAGATTATTATGACCACCCCATCAGTACTTCATTGACACTTCCAAATACTGAATATTGAAAACTTCCTAAGCAAATACTCTCAAGGTTTTATTATTATTATTATTATTTGCATAACTAATTCACTTCATTGTACTAATGGGGTGGTCATAATCTGGTCACTCAGTGTATATAATTTTTTTTAAATATATATTATGAACTTGAGACCCTTTGGTCTGCTCTAACCAGTGAGCAAACCGGCCAAGGCTCACATGGTTTTAAAGGCACAGAAGGAGGCATGAAGAGCTTCTACCTTTCATTGTTAGTTTGGTTTTTTTGTGGGTGTTTTTTTTTTTTTTTTGTATCCTTCAAGGGCTGTTTTATGCATACATGATCATAAATATGTATATTCTCTCCTGACCTGCTTTTTTAAAAAATACATAAATTTTGGCTCAGTGGTTAGAGTGTCTGCCTGCGGACTGAAGAGTCTTGGGTTTGATTCTTGTCCGGGGCACGTACCTTGGGCCCAGTTGGGGTGCACACAGGAGGCAACTAGTCAATGTGTCTCCCTCTCTGAAAAAATCAATGGAAAAAATATCCTTGGGTGAGGGTTTAAAAAAACAAACCATAAATTATATATGATGTTTTATACTTTGATCTTGATCTTTTTAACAGTTCATATCAGTACATAGGGAGCTCCTTCAGTTTTTTTGTTTTTTTGGCAGCAGTATATAGTATTCGTTGTATGAATGTCCCACTTTACTTAGCCAGTCCCTTGTTGATGGGCATCTAGGATATTTTTAATTTCTTGCTATTACAAAGTGTGCTGCAATGAATAGTCATATATGTATAAGTGTCCCCTTTTTAATGGATTAATATTTTCTATTTTCCATACTCATTCTACCCTACTAGAGCTTTCCCTATGACTTGTCTATTTACTCTCACTCCGTTCATTCCGAATATATTTATTTAGTACCTATTTCAGTGTTTAGTCTATAATATATATATAACATAACATAACATAAATATATAATGTATATTATATAGTGTGGTGTGTTTTCAAGGACCATTGGGGAAAATCACATACATAAATGACTGTTGTGCACCTCAGACTGTTGTACCTAAATGAGAGCGTGTAAGAAGCAGGCAGGCTCTACAAGAGGGAATCACTGCAAGTCTTAGCAGAGTGTCTTCGAAGGGCTTGCTGATTCTTTTATGCACAGGCCTCGTGGTAAGGGCTGCCTTCGTGTTCTGCAGTATGCGTAGTCTTAGTACTTTACTATAGCCTGAAAGTAATATTCAGTGAATGTCTACTATAGCCTGTAAGTATATTCAGTAAATGTCAAGTCATTCAACCAAATCTAGACAATAGTTAATATGAATAAGATGTGATTTTTAAAAAAATATAAGATGTGATTTAAAAAAGAGAGAAACTTACCTTGATTGGTATATTTGTGTGTGTTTCAAGCACTGACACAGACCTTGGAGATGAGAGAGAATTTCCAAAAGCAGCTCCAGGAGATAATGTCTGCAACATCAATAGTGAAACCCCAAGGGCAAAGGACCTCCCTTTCAAGAAGTGGTTGTAACAGTGCTTCTTCAACCCCTGACAGCGCTCGCTCCGTCCGCAGTGGACGAAGTAGAGTCCTGGAGGCCCTGAGGTAAGTACCTGTCACTCGTCCTGGTGGCAGCAAGAGGTGACTACATGACTTGAGAGAAAGGTAGCTTCTTATGCGGGTACCTACTGACTCAGTTCCATGAATTAAGCCTAATTTTGCTTTTTTGTTTGTAATTTTTTTTTTTTTTTTACTTTAGACTAAACTTCTACTTTACTATCAAGACCACTAAAAGGGCTATACCACTGGGCCTTATTTAGCCCAAACAAAAGTAGGTTTACAGTTGTGAGTATGTGAAACACAATTTTGTTTTGTACTTTGTTTTTGTTTTGTTTTTTTTTAATTTAGAGGAAGGGGGAGAGAAACATCAGTAGGAGAGAACCATTGATAGCTGCTTCCCACATGCCCCCTACTGGGGATTGAGCCTGCAACCCAGGCATGTGCCCTGACTGGGAATTGAACTGGCGACCTCTTTGGTGCATGGGATGATGCTCGACCACTGCGCCACACTTGCCAGAGCAGAGTTTATTCCTATATTATTAATTATTGAATTATTTTCCATACAACAACTATAAACCTACTTTTGCCCACCCCTGTATATTATAGTCAGAAACCACCTTCCTCGCTTTTCTGACTTCCCTCCCTTGTTCCAAGCAGTTCTGGAATTCTTAATTGGGGGCAGGAAACACACATAGGTTTGGTTTCTCACCAAGCAGTGCTTCACAGTGAAGCGTGATTTATATGTATTTTGTATTCTCTACAAATCTGTCTTCTAGGAAAGGTGATTATAGATCTTAGTGTGATGTGACTTAGTTCAGTAGCATTACATCATCCTTTTCCTGATAGAAAACTCTCTAATTATATGATAAGCATTATGGCACTTATATCTTAACCCTTTGCACTCCAAACCATTCTGGACATTGGCTACCAGCTACTCGACGCTACTTTGCGGCGGAAACGTGCATTTACAGACCCTCGTATTATTTAGTATAATTTTGGAACCAAGTAACGTATTATAATGATATTGGACTTATATGAATTGGGTGACATCGAGGAATGTATATTTGCAAAAAAAAAACAATATTTTATTGTTTATAATTTTGTACAGTATGATAAGTTTTGTAACACTCCCCAATATGCATTGCAGGCTGATTAGTGCATGTTTGACAGTAATAAGTGGTTTGACGCCTGCCACCAGGTGTTTTCCTGTTAGAACACACAATGCAGTCCCGTTTTCTTTGTCCCACATCGGGAATATGTAGTTTATTGTTTAATCCGACACAAAACCCGCTGACATTTCTTGTATATATCTTAGTAATTTTACGATATTTTGATTTAATTTCTTGTGCCATTTCAAGATAAAACTTCAGGGAAACATGCATGTCTCAAAAAGTTGCGTTGAAATAACTCAATTCCCCGTAATCACTAATAAACTGCAATGTCCCCTGAGAGGGGACATCCGAGTGATATGCTAGAATTCCGATGTCCCCTGAGAGGGGACAGCGGAGTGCAAAGGGTTAAATTAATTAAACTATGCATTTATCTTATAAATGTATATTTCATGAGGCTAATTCTCTGAGTAACAGTGGCTTTTTGTTAATATACTTCAGGTTATGTTTATTATTATAGAGAGCCTAAATCTTATGCCAGTTAGAGTAAATACCCTGAGAATAAAAGGCTTTCCTCCTTGTTTTTGAGGCAAGTGAACTCTTAGTGGTAACATCAGTTTTGGTAAAGTCTTTTTGTTAAGATGTTTTTTATATATATATACACACACACACACATAATTAGATTGTATATAATATAGTTATATATAGCATGCATGTGTACTAGTGTATGTGTATAAATGCTGAAAGATTTGTTATATATCTTGAAAGAAAAGAGTTGCCATTCTATTCACACTCAGTGGAATTGTTAGTTACACCATAAAGCATGCGTTACTTTAGTTCAGCATAAGGCAGGTCTACCTGTGACTCTGGGAGGTTTGGTTACAAGAGCTAAAAGGTCCTTCTTCTAAGGCAGCATTTAAATACGCTTCCCATGTAATTACAGTTGTTAGTTATATTTTCCATTTTTATCACTTGAACTATCAGTAAGCAAAACAACCAGTTTTATAAACATTACCAAGTTTCCCTAAGCTGATATAAGAAAACTGCCATTTTTTTCTTATTATTATTGAAAGTATTACATATGTCTCCTTTTCCGCCCATTGGCCTCTCCCCACCCGCTCCCGCCCCCCTACTGTCTGAAATGCAGCATTTTGACAGTGAACTTTTCCCCCCTCTTTGAAGTTTCAAATATATTTCAGTCAAAATATGTTTCATTTTCTCACTGAAACGTTTTAAAGAGAAAATCTTTCCCAAAGTTTGTTTACTCAATAGTTTCAAGTGCTTACTGTGGGCTAGATGGGCATAGAAAGGTGACCCACAAATGTACCGTCTAACTTAAGGAATTGATGAATGTGGGTTTTGTTAGGGCTGTCTATTAAAATTGTCACTTTTATTCCTCAGGCAGTCTCGTCAAACAGTACCTGACATCAACACAGAGCCCTCCCAGAATGAACAGATCATTTGGGATGACCCTACAGCCAGAGAGGAGAGGGCCCGGCTTGCCAGCAATTTGCAGTGGCCGATTTGCCCCACACAATACTCTGAACCTCAGGCCGACATTAAAAATTTGGAGGATTCTCCTTTCCAGGAGCCTTTCCATGATTTGAAAACTGCTGAACAGGGTAATGAGAAAGAGATTATTTACTACTTTGTATTAAGAACATGTTGGCCTCTTGAAAATTAACAGATAAGCACAGTGTGATTCTCTGAATTGTCCATGCAAATGAAAAACTTACTTTGTACTTCTAATTTGGTTTAAATTTAAGAATCAGCCCTAGCTGGTTTGGCTTAGTGGATAGAACACTGGCCTGCGGACTGAAGGGTCCCAGGTTCGATTCCAGTCAAGGGCACATGCCTGGGTTGTGGTCTCGATCCCCAGTGGTGGGTGTGCAGGAGGCAGCCAATCAATGATTCTCTCTCATCATTGATGTTTCTATCTCTCTCTCCCTCTCCCTTCCTCTCTGAAATAAATTAAAATTAAAATGTAAAAAATCAGGAAAGTAATTAATTTCAGTAAATTGAAAAATACATTTTTATTTTTAAATTTAGGATTAGGCATTATTTTCACTGTTATTGTTTCTTTTATTCTAGTTTTTTTTGCATTTGTTTTCTCCTAATCACCTTACTTCCATTTAAGTCTTCTCCTGACTTCTCAGCACATACTGCACGTGTTCTTTTGATTTGTATGAGTTTCTTTCTGAATTCCCCTATTTTCTTCCTTGGACTTTATCTTGAAAACAGAATGTTAGGTACGTCTCTGTACTAGATACATAGATTTACCTCTGCTTCTGATGTTCTCCAAGTGCAACCTTGCTTTTATTTTACAAATTTGGGATACTTTTTATTGGTGCGAGCTTGGCAGAAGCCCACAGAGGACACCACCATTTGCCCCTTTAATGCTAAGTAATTTCATTGATTTATAAGCTCTAGAAATAGGCTACTTCTTTGCACATATTTTTTACATTCCAGAATTTGTGTTTAATTTCATCTTGGCTAAGACAGATGAGACTATTTCCCAGAATGGTTCTTAGTCATGTTTGGTAATATCACACTGCAACGTTTTATTGCCCTCAGCTGTCTGTGATCCTGGAAACGTGTGTGTGACTGAAGCTCCAAAACACCCCACCTCTGAAGAACTGGAAACCCCAACAAAAGACAGCCACCTGATCCCGACGCCTCAAGCCCCCAGCATTGCGTTCCCCCTGGCCAACCCCCCCGTGGCTCCACACCCGAGAGAAAAGGTTTGTCACCCTGAGCCTGGTGGTGTTGGCTGTTGGATATTGATGTTATGTGGCATTCAGAATTTATTGGATCCATATCAAGGGTTCAGCAAATGTTGAAAACTGCATTTCTTTGCATTGTATTATTTATATTTGATAACTCAGAAGACTAAATGTTACTGTGAAAGAACTATATACCTAATAACTTTTTAAATGTTACTTTTTCTAAAATAAAACTCTTCCATTTCAGATAACAATAGAGGAGACTCATGAAGACTTAAAAAAACAGTACACATTTCAGATGTCATCTCTGAATCCTCAAGAACGTATTGATTATTGTCATCTGATTGAGAAATTAGGTACAAGTATTTTACTTAAGAACATCCCACCCAATAACTGTTATTTAGAAGGCAAATGTGGATGATATTGTTACCACTTGTAAAATACAGAAATTGAGACCAAAAAGATGGCTAATTTGTCCAAGATTATACATTGAGGCAGCATTAGAGCTTTTTAAAGGCACTGGGTCATAGGATTTAAAGATTTAAGTTGAAACCAACCATTAAGGTTTAAGAATCTTTTTGTGATGCTTTGAGCATTTATTTCATTGATGGAAGCCTGGACCAAATCAATGAAATTATAGACTTACTATATAAGTAAAACCATATTTCAGTGAAGTATTTGTATTCCACTAGTTGTCAAGCTCTCGATCTGACATCATTCTACAGGCAGTGCCGAGCGTACCAGACAGGTAACCTGGTGCTCTGGCCACATACTTAGTGCTGTCTGCCCTTTTAAGGATGTGGAGAACCATGTATGTTTTTTTAAAGATTTCTGTCATGTGTACAATAGTACTCTTGAGAAGCCTTTTCTTGGAAACTTTATTCAGGTGGAACATGTTGTACCCCAGTCGCCTAATAAGTCAGAATTGATGAGCGTTCCAATTTGGTGAGCTCTGGGCAAAGCTTAAGTGTCTGTCTCCTGTAGGTGGTTCCCATCTGTGCAAGCTCTGGGCAAGAGTAGCGGCAGGTAGCAGAACATTGTCTGGGAGAGGACAGAGCACAGGGGCACCTGTATAGGTTGTGCTGAAATTGGGAGTCTGTGGCTACAGGGTTTCTGATAGAGATTGCAGAGAGGCCCTTCACTTCTTGAATGAACACGGTGGTGAAATGCTGGTTAGGTATCGATATTATATTAATAGGGAATTTCTACCTTATTGGCACCTCTAATCCTGTGTCCCCATATGTAAATTGCAGATAATAGTAACTGCATAAACTTGTGAGGATTAAATGAGCTAATAATCTTGAGTACTTTCCACAGTCCCTGGCATATAGTAAGTCCTCAAAAGGTACTGCTGCTTCTGTTAGTCATCTCCAACGCATGAGTTCGAATGTGAAGTCTTAGAAAGTCCTGGCTGCATCTCCACCTCGCCAGTAGTCAGGCTAAGCTCTAAAGCAGCGGTTCTCAACCTGTGGGTCGCGACCCCTTTGGCGGTCGAACGACCCTTTCACAGGGGTCGCCTAAGACAATCCTGCATATCAGATATTTACATTACAATTCATAACAGCAACATTACAGTTATGAAGTAGCAACGAAAATAATTTTATGGTTGGGGGTCACCACAACATGGGGAACTGTATTAAAGGGCCAGAAGGTTGGGAACCACTGCAAAGTCTGAGTAGCACCCTGCTTTGCATAAGCTTATATTTACTGATGTCGCCTTTTGTTCCTCAGTCAGGCTTCACCCATTTGTGCCTGAGAAAGATTGCAGCTCCTGCCTGTGCTTTGTCTCTTTACTGAGCCTGTGTGTTTTCTCCCAAGCTTCTCTGTGGTCAGCTGACCTCATTTCCACTCACGGAAGGTTCTTTTCTGCTTTTAGTCTGTAGGCGCCCCTTTTTGACTTCTGTTTCTTTGATTATCTATATTCAGTGCTTAAAATTGCTAAGGTAGTTGAAACTTAAGAAATGTAGCAGCTAACTGCAGTATATGGCCCTTGTTTCGTATTTTATTTTTCTTTTTAAATATCTTAATTGTATTAAACAAGTGCCGATCTAAAATTTGAACAAGGATTTAGTATTGAAATAGCAAAGAATTTATTTTAGATCTGATAATGGCATTGTGGCTAAATAAGAAAATTTCCCGATTTTTATTTAGCCTCAGTGGCAGCTGGGAAGTGGGTTCTTCATCGCTCCTACCTTGAAGCATGCAGGACTGCTGGGCATTTTGTGGCGGTGTGTATTTAAATTAACATAAGGATCATTGTTCTTTACAGAATAGCTTAATTTGTTCTTTAAAAGTGACTATCGTTTTGTGGCGGTGTGTATTTAAATTAACATAAGGATCCTTGTTCTTTACAGAATAGCTTAATTTGTTCTTTAAAAGCCCCCAAAATTTAGAAATTATAGAACTAGATTCCTAGCTATGTCAATTTGGTTTAATTTGTTTTTTTAATTGAAATAACATTTGAAAATATTAAGATCTCACTGTAAGCTTTACTGCTAGCCAATTAAATATTAAATATTGAAATATTTTGGTTCCTAACTGACCATCACAATTGTAGTTGTCATGTAGTTTTGAAGTTTTCCATCAAGGTCTCTTAGGAATTGCCTTTATAGACAGGTAATGAAGCTGCTAGTATCTACCTTCTCTGAGACCGTGTCCTTCTGTGAAGTTTATCTTACAGTGGGTGAAACCCAGGAATCTAAATATTACTGATTGCTATGGTTATCTGTGTTTCTGAGAAATGTATGCAATATTTTTATTTCTCGTAAAAAGCCACATACATTAGCTCTCATATGAAGCCAAATTAATCTACCTTTCCTCCATGCTTAGTTCATATTCTCTATATTTATAACAATTGAATGTATAGTTTTTAACTCTTGCTAGATTGTGAACTCCTAGAGGACATATTGTGGGAACTCAAAAAAGTTTGCTGGACTAATTCTCTAGGAAGAAGACTATGAATGGGGAAGTAGTTCCATACTTGATGTTTTGACTGGAATCAGTGCACAGCAACGAAGACTAGCACTTGCAGCAATGAGATGGAGGAAAAAAATCCAGCAGAGTCAAGAATGTCATGACTGTTCCAGATTGTTTTTTTTTAAGAGAATGTGCTTGATGAAATAATAATTCTATTTACCTTTTATCACTTGATTGATATAGTTTGGGCATTCTAGATTGAGATATACAGTATATATATATGTGTGTGTGTGTGTGTGTGTGTGTTCTAGATTGATATATACAGTGTAAATACATATAATGTTGATAGCACTTTTAAAAATAGTTTACATGTAAAATGTGACCCATACTTATTCCAAAGAATCCTTTCAGCAACTAGCTTTAGGGGCTCTTAACTTGAGGTCCACAGACTTTCCCAAAGAAGTTTGTAGGTTAAATTCAGGAAGGCTATCCACTCTAGATGGGGGAACAATACATCCTTGTTTGTACTAACCTCTAATGAAAAGTATTTTCTTAGTTATAAGTCTGGGCAACAAATCACAACACTAGTAACAGTACCTGTGACTCTGCCCTGAGAGAAGTCCAATATCTTTGCTTTGCATTATAATGTAAGTATCCTGACGTGTTTATGTTCACTACTTTAAAATTATAGTATTTAACTCACCACTACTTTCAATTTAATACATTAGTACAGAAGCACACATCTATTATGTCCAAATTTTTAAAATAATTTAATCATTGGGTAATTTTCAATAAAACTATTTCCTATGTAATCCTCTATACTTTGAATATTTTAAAACATGCATATGTTATGGAAATGACAAACAAAGCTATTATTTAAAAAAACACACAAATTACTTAGAGAATAGGTCTATAGGTTTTACCAGACTGTAAAAGGGGTCCATGGCTCACAAAAAGGTTAAGAAACCCTGAGTAATCTTTCTGTTCTGAGTTCTCTGCTTCTCCACATCCTTGTTTTGACTCCCTTTCTTTTGGAGTAATTCCACTGTATGTACCCAATTTGTAAATGTTTTCAAGAGAAATACAGTGGAGGCTTCATCTAATCTAAGAAGCTGTGCTTGAGGCTCTACCCTTAATTGTAAGAAAAACACTAGAAAAGATTCAACAAAACTCAAGTTGCTTTGTTTTAACGTTACCTAACTATTCAATCATTTTCCTTCATTCAAGTACTTATTGGTGGCTTACTGTGTGCCAGACATGGCTGTGTGTTTCAGAGGATTCTGACCAGACAGTTACCACTGTGGCAGAATGAAGGTTATAAGATTATTTGTTGACATAAAACTACATAAAACATTATCTGTCATTTATTTTCCAAATAATTTCAACACAATGTTCTGTGTTTGCAGGGGGCGTTTAGCGGGTGGAAGGTTATTTTACATGTTGCCGATCAGTCCCGAGAAGCAGGATTCAGACGGCTGCTTCAGTCCGGAGGAGCGAAGGTTTGTATTGGACCAGTTCACTGGGTTTTTACATGCATCACTTTCTAAGCAAGGTTGCTTTGATCAGTTCCTAATTCCTGTGCTTTGTGAGATGGTAACCCCTAGGTACAGATATACAGTTGAATTATTTTGGGACACTCATGGCTTGTGGTGCTTCTTTTTCTTTAGGTGCTACCTGGTCATTCTGTGCCTTTATTTAAAGAAGCCACACATCTCTTTTCTGACTTTAATAAACTGAAACCAGATGACTCAGGACTTAATATAGCAGAAGCTGCTGCCCAGTACGTGTACTGCTTGAAAACAGAATACATTGCTGATTATCTCATGCAGGTTTGTAAGCTTCGGTCCTTGACCTCATTACAGCGATCTGCTTATCTGCATAGAGAAGTTTGCACATCACCACCCTCAGCTCCTTGTTAATACATGTCAGACTGTTATTTTCTATTTCATTCTTTTTTTATAATCATGGACATATATGTAAACATTAGCTTGGAATTTAAATGAGCTAGGTATAAGAGTGCTCTTCTAGACGTTGGAATATAAAGAAAGCAGAAATTGATTTCAAGAGTCCAAGGAGAAACATTTACCCAAGGGTCCTCCTCTAGTTTTCTTGACCTTTTGCACTGATATATAAGTGAACACCTGTGTTAGATGCTAAGGTGAGTCAAGCATTTGCTTATATGGAGGGCTCACTACACTCGTGTAGTTAGTGGCCCGTGTTTGTATGACTTGAATTGGCAAAGAAAAATCTTCCTGACACCAGAGTGCCTAAAACGCCATCAGCAAAGTGTGCCACACGGTCACAAATGTCTTTACTATAAAGGATTTCAAACAGAATGGCATAGGAAAGGGGGAGCCAGGATGCAGCCTGCCATGTGACTTGCTGTTTGTGCTTGCTCTGGGTTTAAACAAAACAATGCCCAAAACATGAAGCCTTTTTCAAAAGCAGTGTGGTGTACTGAATCTCATCCCTGGTCATTTTAGGAATACAGCTGCCACCTAAGACAAGAACCGATAATTATTAATTTTTAATCCTCACCCGAGGATATTTTTTTCTGTTTAGAGAGAGAAGAGGAGGGGGATAGATGCATTGACTGCCTCTCATGCACCCCCACCAGGAATTGAACCTGAGATCTGACACTAACCACTGAGAAAAACTGGCCAGGGCAAGAACTGATCATTATTAATTGCCTATATTGTGCTGGGCACAATGTTTGTGTATGCATTCTCACATATAAAACACATGTACTGTTTGAAGAATAGCAAAATGTCATCTAGGTACTTGGTAAAGAAATAGAACGTTGCTACTCCTGTAGGCATTCCTGTTGCACCTCCCTCCTTACCCCAGAGGTGATCACTGTCTGACTTTTGGTTGTGTCCCTGCTTCTCAAGGTTGCAATGTGTGTTAGGCACTAGATTTCTGGAGGAATATGATGTGCTATTATGACAGTCTGTTTTATACATAGGGTGTTTCCAAAAAGTGGATACACAATAATTTTTTATTCTAATGGTTAAATTTAAAAAGAAAGAAACATCAATTGATCTATCTGCTGCTAAGTGTATATACTTTTTTTGAGGACACTACCCAGCTGGCAAAGCCAAAATTCATAATTATATAATATTGACTGTTATTTAACCTTTTTATTTTACCTGTAAAATGGGGAACAAAAAATACCTCTCTCCTATTTATTGTAAAGATCAAGTAAAAATTCAGTAAAAAGATTTTCAAAAATTACACTAAGCATACTGTCTCACTCTTGATAACTATTAACTGTATTTTTCCAAATTTTCCATATTCTTGTATTTAATCCATTATTAAGGTCTGAGCTAGCCCCACTCTACCTGAGCTATTAGCTCGTTTTTCTGATAAAAAATGACTTCACTAAATGTGACGTGTGATAAACGGCAAACCTTGAAAAACAAATGTTTTCTTTGCAAGAATTTAGGAATGAATATATGAATAAAAGGGAAATGTATAAAGTTCCTGTAGTCAAAAAGCAGAGTGAAGAAACTTATTACCTGATCATTTTCAGTTTGAAATTTGGAAAAAATGAATAATGTATGGTTTCCCCCTTCAGGAAGCCCCGCCTCCAGTAGAAAAGTACTGTCTACCAGAAGCTGTTTCCTTTCTTCAGAATTACAAGGAACTGGGGTCTGGATTATCACAAAAGCGAAAAGCTCCTCCAGAGAAAAATAGTACCAAACGGCCTCGAGTGAACTGATGCATCTGCTCTTCAGTACCAAACCGTAAACGTTGTTAAATTCAGAGCCTGAATGTTACTGTGATGGTTTGTGAAGAACTCCGCTCAGGGGAGAATGATGACCCTGCTTGAAGTTAGTTTTTAACACTTGAAATTTCAATCAGTGAAATATTACTTGTTCCTGAATGGAGAGTTCCCTGAAATAACACAACACAACCCCTCAGCTAGCTTGTTACTAAAACACGTTGAAGTGTGCAAGGGGCTTTTTATGTATGTATTTTCTTATAACTATCTGAGGCTGTCTCTTAGTGGGAGTTTTATCAGCAAGGTGATGGATTTTGCCTTAAAATGTCTGCTTGAATCCATAACAAGGAAGTTTATTGGGATCTATTCATGTTTTCCTGATTTTTAAATTCTCACCATTTTACCTCTTTTTAACAGGAGCCTGAACACAAGCTTTAATGAGGAACTGAGGCTTTAAATTAAAATATGTGTGTATATATGTATATGTATGTTTGTACAAATCTCCATGATGTTTGCTAAGTTTGGATGCCAAACTTGGAAAATAAAAACAATAAAGAATAAAAGTCATATGTTTTTTATAAGAAAAAGTATTTTGGCACTCATTCTCTTGAAGCAATAAGATTTGTAAAACTGCTTAAAAAGCTAATTGCTAGGCAGATATCTGATGCTATTTACAATATTGTTCTATTGGGTTAAAAAACTTATTAGAAGCACAAAATTGTATTAGCCTTAATTACCAAATACTGCATGCATTGCCACAGTGTCCCAAATATAAAGCTGCCTGGTTTTTTTAAAGAACAAACCAGAATATGGAGCAGAGTGTTTATGTAACTGTTAATTACTTTCTTTGAAAGGCAGGCGGTGAGGGTCTCAGTTCTTAACCTAGACCCGTGATTTTAATTTCAGATGTGACAATCTAAGGGGAAAGAGGTTAAGTATTGCACACCTAGACACAAAAGAACTGAAGTTTTTATCAGATTTTTCTCTAAATGGGATAGGGGTTTTCCTGCCCTTCAAATCATTTAGCTTAGAGCTAATTCACCGCTTCTCAACCTTCTGGCCCTTTAAATACAGTTCCTCATGTTGTGACCGAACCATAAAATTATTTTTGTTGCTACTTCATAACTGTAATGTTGCTACTGTTATGAATCGTAATGTAAATATCTGATATGCAGGATGGTCTTAGGCGACCCCTGTGAAAGGGTCGTTCGACCGCCAAAGGGGTCGCGACCCACAGGTTGAGAACCGCTGGCTTAGGACAATACAAATTCCTACACAACCAAATAGGTGTAGGTTGTCCTCTAAACCACTCCTGCTCCTCCCACAAAAACCTCATGGCCTGGTTTCATCAGAGCCGTTCATGTTCGCTGGGTGTTTCCCAGGCAGTTTGCAGTGCATTTCCCTGAATTTCACCAATTAAAATTCTTTAAGTAGTTGAACACTTGATAAAATTACCTAATATATCATTCATTTTCTTCTCTGCTAAAATTATTAACTATTTTCCCAGCTTGTCTTGAACGTAGCTTAGTTTTAAGGCTGTAGATCTCAGCTTCTCCTGACTCCAGAATCTGCCCACACCCTATGTAAACCGTTTCCACTCTGCCCTGATGCCAGCAAGGTCTGCCTACGTGCAAATCATTCCAAACAGGTAGTTCTCTCATTTAAAAAGGAAGGAAAAAAAACCACTTCCCTTGATTATCCTACTTCCTAGTTTCTCCTCAGAATTACTACAGTATTTTCATCTGTGATACTCAAATTAGCAACTTACATTCCTCCATGAATTTCCTTGTGCATTAATCTCACCAACATCCATTAATTCAACAAAGATGACTCCTTAGCCTATAAGGTAGTGCCTGGGGTTCAGGAGCAAACCACCCAGACCACATGCTCTCTCAGCGCTGAAGAGGCGAGGCCCTCAGTGTGGACACGCAGTACTCAATTGTACTCAGATTTAGTATTTATAGTGATACGGACTGAACTGTGTGGGCCCCCCTCCCCAATTCATAGTCCTGTCCTAACCCCCCGTGTGGCTGTATGAGGATCCTGAACCTTTAGGAGTCATTCAGGTTAAATGAGGTCATACGGGTGGGGCCCCAATTCAGAAGGACTGGTGTCCTTAGAAGAGACGGAGGGCATGCGCACAGAGGAAAGAGGCGAGTCCCATGTGAGGTCACAGAAGGCACCGTCGGCAAGTCAGGAAAGCACCCCAGCCAATATCTTGAGCTTAAGATGTCCAGCCTCCAGAATGGTGCAAAATTCCTATTGTTTGAGCACCGGGCCTGGTACTTCGCTGCCGCCCGAGCAGGCTAATCCAACATTGTGGTGCCAAGGTCTTAACCTAGGGCCATAATGCCTGGGATGGACACAGGCACAACTTCGTACATGTGCATTTTTCGGAGAGAGCTCAGTTTTAGAATTCGGGTCTGAGACCTCCCACACAGTACAGCCTTCACCCAGAGGTGCTTTAACATATACTGCTTTACGTCAGGGTTTGGCAAACTCTGGAGAAGTCCAATAGTAAGCTTTTAAGCTTTGTGGGCCAGGACTTCATGGCATTTTTCCTTCCACCCTTTAAAAATGTAAAAGCCATTCTCAGCTGGAGGCCATAAAAAATAGGCAGTGGTCTGGGTATTTATCCGAAGACACCCAAAACACTAAATCAAGAAGACATGCATCCATGTTCATTTTAGCATTATTTACAATAGCCAAGATACGGAAGCAACCTAAGTGTCCATCAGTATATGAGTGGATGAAGAAGTAAAAACACAATGGAATATGACTCAGCCATAAAAAAAAAAAATCTCCCCATCTGCAACAACATAGATGGACCCAGAGGGTACTGTGCTGAAATGAGTCAGAGGATGAGAAATGCCGTGATTTCACTTTTATGTGGGGTGTAAGAAGTAGACGAAGCACAGAAACAGACTCAGACACAGAGATCATTTTGATGGTTGCCACATGGAAGGGAGTTGGAGGGATGGGTGAAAAAGGTGAAGGGATTAAGAAAGACAAAATGGCCGAAACCAGTTTGGCTCAGTGGGTAGAGCATCGGCCTGCAGACTGAAAGGTCCCAGGTTCGATTCCGGTCAAGGGCATGTACCTTGGTTGCGGGCACATCCCCAGTAGGAGGTGTGCAGGAGGCAGCTGGTCGATGTTTCTCTCTCATCGATGTTTCTAACTATCTCTCTCTCCCTTCCTCTCTGTAAAAAATCAATAAAATATATTAAAAAAAAAATACAAAATGGGTAGTCACAGAATAGTCACAGGGATGTAAAGCAGCAGTGGTCACAAACTTCGGCTCGCAAGCCACATGCGGCTCTTTGGCCCCTTGAGTGTGGCTCTTCCACAAAATACCACGTGTGGGCGCACACGTACAGTGCGATGGAAACTTCGTGGCCCATGCGCAGAAGTCGGTATTTTGTGGAAGAGCCACACTCAAGGGGCCAAAGAGCCGCATGTGGCTTGAGAGCCGCAGTCTGCCGACCACTGGTAGGGGACTGTAGTCAATGTTGTAATAAGTATGTATGATGTCAGATGGGTACTGGATTTATCTGGGTGATCACTTATTTAATGTCTAAAAAAATGTCTACTCACTGGGTTGTACACTGAAACTAATATAATAGTGTGTGTCAAGTGAAATTGAAAATAAAAAAATTTAAAAATGTTTTAAATGCAGGAAGGGAGGATAGCCCAGTGCAGACTCAGCTGTCCCCTCAGCTCCTGGCAGGAGGCTGGCCTGCCCTCGGCACCTACCTCCCAGCACCAGACCTGTTCTGTGGTGGGCGGAAGGTGCTACTGCAGCCTGAGGAAACCGTATCAGTGTAAAAATTAGTTGGGGGCAGGGTTGATGTGGCTGTAATAGGGCACCTGAGGGACTCTTATGATGGAACTGTTGGTATCTTTTTAAATATGAATTTGAAGGTCTAATTAGCTTTATTAAGCGATTTGTGAAGTGGGCAGTGTGTCATCTAGGGAGCAGAGAGATACTCCTGCACTCTGTCTTGACCTTGTGGATGTCAGTCTCCTGGCTGTGGTGTGCTATGTATTTGATAAGATGTTAGATTTGGGGAAATGGGTAAAAGGTACTCAGGATCACTTATTTCCAAAACTGTATGCTAATCTACAATTATATCAATAAATTTAACTTCTAAAAAATATATTTTTATGATTTCAGAGAGGAAGGGAGAGGGAGAGAGAAATAGAAACATCTATAATGAAAGAGCAGCATTGATCGGCTGCCTCCTGCACGCCCCCTATGCGGGATCAAGCCCACAACCCAGGCATGTGTCCTGACCTGGAATCAAATTGTGAACTCCTGGTTCATAGGTTGATGCTCAACCACTGAGCCACACTGGCTAGACAAGTTTAATTTTTTTTTTAAATTCTGACATGCTGATTGGAAACTCAAATATATATGTATGTATACATGTATGCATGCAATGGATGGTGGTGTGTGGATCCTTGCCCTATAGCCCTAAAGAAACTTTAATCTACATCTGTCAACAAGCCAGACGCACAGTTCTTTGTTTTCCTTCCACCCTGAGTAGTAACTGGCCCTTTGGCAGAGCCATCTGATGCTTGTTTAGCATGTGGGACACTGCAATTAGAATTTACCAAGTGTTTTAAATTTGTGAGGTATTTATGGAAAGAAAAGCCACGGTACCGATATTAGTTTAAGCTCTTTAAGCCATAAAAGAATGTTAAATTTTTTTAAGCAATAGGAACTGATAAATGAAAGAGAATCAAGCAATTGTCCTATCAGTATAACTGCATTTCAGGATAACCTGACAGTTGAGGAAAAACTCTTCTTCATAGAGTAATTCCAGGTACTAAGTACAGGAGAAATGATAGAAGCAAACAATTTTACAACTCCTAGTGAAATCATAGATCTACGCAAATGGGGGACTTAATACTGATGGATCAAGGTAATAACACCTAAATTCTCTCATCACTCAAGACGGCCAGGCATGCCTCCTGATGTGATACAATAGAGAACAGAGAACATCTATTACTCCGTTAATTAAACGTGAGTTTGATCACGCCTCCGGATCTTACTACCTGCAGTCAATCAAAATCGAGCCAGGAGCATTCCAGCTCAAGATGACAATGTTATAGGATCCTGATCTCAAGTCCTCCCACAGACACAATCTACAGTTACATACAAAACAATTTCCTCTGAAAGAAACCCCAAACTAGCTGAGCAACTCCCACAATTTGCGCAAATGAGGAAAATCCCCATCTCAAAATGGGTAAAAGAGGCTGAAATGCAATTTTGCCATAAACCCCACCCCTGGTGCAATGACCCACAAGTAGGAGGGAACTCACAACCCTGAACTTCTCCCTGAGAGAAGGGCCCCCAAAACATCTAGCTGTGAAAGCCAATGGGGCTCGCACAAGGCCATAGCGATCTGAGAAACATCAAAAGAAATAAAAACTTTGAAACAAGTGGAAATGGAAATACAATATACCAACACCTATGGGATACAGCAAAAGCAGTTATAAAAAGGAAGTTCAAGGCAATAAATGCCTACATGAAAAAAACAAGAAAGGTCCTCAAGAAACAACCTAACTTCACAGCTCAGGGAAC